CAGTGAGATGAATGGCTTTCTGAGCTCGGGACGCAGGAATCGACCCAATATACATTCCAGGGCGCCTCCGACCAATCTCCTACACGTACCCAGTGCGCGCTCTTAGGGCACAATAATATAACGGTATGTTGAATTAGAAGTACTATCCTCGCACGGGTATCCAAAACGCCAGCGCATAAAACTCTCCAGGCGTTTTGGATAAATTCCAAGAATCCGAAAATATCTTGTAATCACACATGATACAGAGCCGTATCTCTGGCTGATTCACTAATCTGAGGCAGGCAAATTCCTAGCCCATGTAAGACTGTGCGGCTCATCTCCACCGAATAACTGGACGTCTTACAAAGAACAAAACGGTGAGCGTTTAGCAGAAGCTGTTTATTACGAGGATAAAAATTTGTGGTAAGTTTTTTCTGCTGAAGTTCTGAAAGTGCTTAGATGAGTGGATGGCGTGTCAATTTGACCTTTCCAGGGTTTGAAGAAAGTTAAACCGCCTAAACGTCAGCTATTCTGAATTATCAAATTCTGTAATAACAACCTCGTGTTTGCTCATCAATTGTCTAGGTTAGAAGAAAGTCGGCCCCCTTGAGTCTATAATATTATAAAACGTTAACCTGGAATTCAGGAATCAAATTGTTTGGAATCGGGAAGTAAACAAATAAATGTAAATGTGAAGAGAATTCAAGCGATTTCCGTGTCAACTCAAACATGGGCAAAAGATCTCAAAAATGACTCGTAATTCCAAAATTTTAGTTCAAAAGTTAACTGTCAGCGAACGGAGAGTAGAAAATTGGTTTCGAAAGTCTCTTGGTGCAGATGACGGTCTAGACAGCAACGATGGACGATCACCTATCGTCCAAAACGATCAACTGATTGAATTAACTGATGCCGACCCAGGCATACAATTCGATAATTTGTGAAGAACTAGATGCAAATAACTCGACAGCTTAAAAACTTCTTATTGGAAAATAAAGATTTCAAATCCCTCGAGAATTTTGTCCCGCAAGCGTCGGATGAGCAGCAAAAATTATCGTTGTGAAAACTACTTGGCACTTCATTTGTTACAAAAAAAGAGGGCTAATTTCTATCAAGCTTATCGGCAGGTAACTAATCTCGGATTAAACTGCTTAAACAAACAACTGTTGGATGTAACTTTCTTTGGAAGGCGCCAACGCTGATATGAGTGCATGACTCACGCCTTTCATGGCAGAGGCCGGCACGAGTCATATGTAACTGGTTTTCTTTTCGGGCATTCATTTTGACAAAAACAGTTCTTCTATGCTCTTCGTAATTAAAGTCCATGGCTATTGAACACAGATGTTATGTCATGAGTCGGTTGTGAAAAGCTCTTCACCACATTTAACAAGTCGCAGAACCTCATTTGGAACTCATTCGCCTGATTTGAATACGCTGCAATGCTAGCATGTCAGTTGCAAAAGGATAAAGATAAAGGACAAAGCTCTCCGCGTTGATCAATGCCTGAGAGTATGCGCCATGCACTCGACTTCACTAATCATCGCTAGAGGTGAGTGAATGCATGTGTGTGCCCTAGAACGACTCGCGGTAACCTATGGACGTATCGAGTCAGTGCTGCCATCCTCCCAGACAAGTCCGGTACCAACTTGCCGACCCCGGAGGGATGGAAGAGGTGAGCTTTGAGCGCGGTGATCGATCCTCAGTTCTGCTCACTAAAATTCGCAAATAAGGACAATTGACTGCCACAGATGGTGAATCACTGCAGAAACTTGTATACACGTACTTATAAAACGCAGGACTAGATATGGAAGCAATACGCATTCTCCATTGTGTTTTAAAGCAATGCATATTCTCGAATCTTTTCCCATAACCTTTAATCGTTGTCGTAGGCAATGTAGTGTTAAAAAAATAATTCACAATTTTTATGAAATGCTGAGATATTTGCAAAACTCCGGACCACAGGTGTACGCAGTGGGGAACGAACACGCGCTGTTGTCCTTACCGGGGAGCAGCGCGTGTTCGTTCCCCACTGCATACACCTGTGGTCCAGAGTTTTGCAAATATCTCAGCATTTCATACGAGTTATAATTCGAAACATACCCTGCCATTAAGAAGAAAAAGGCAGTAAATAAAAGCGTTAAGATCACGATTTTTAATTTTTACAGTGAACACCCATGGATATTCTAGAGTCACCATAACCCTCAAACTTTACAACATATACTTTCTACGCAGAGTTTATCACAAATCATTACAACTATGCAACTCTTAAAATCTACAACCGTCACAGGAAATTTTAAAGCAAGTGAATAACGTCTGTAATTCACTCCTTCAATGGAAATTATAGGAGCAATATAAACAAAAGATTTTTCGCATTGGCCAAACCTAATTCCAACCTGCATAGCCTGTACTCCAGCATATTTTGCTTCTTAACATCCAAACAATTTCTTAAAACATCCAACACAAGGCATCTGTTTATTTCACCGGTGGTGGCTGCCTTCCAGAAAGTGGCTGTTCGAATGTGTAACCAACTGTTATCCATTTTAATCAAACTCGACCAAACTTGGTTTTCGAACTCTACACTTCTTGTATGTTTCCGCATTAAATACTCGATGTCATACTTTTCTGTATTGGATATAGTTCGCAATACTATTCTCCCTTTAAAAGGTACAAGAGACTGGTTCACAGATGCTTTTCCCGTGTTTGTGAAAGTCTCATTGACAAGTTCTACGAGAGGACTGATGTTGTTTAGTCTATCATTTTCTTCACACCACCCTTTGACCGTTGTCTTCTAGCATAATTTGGCAAGCCAGAAGATTGCATTTGAAGTAGATTCTCAACTCCAATAACATTGTAGCCGTGGGCGACCAGTGTTTCTCACAGCAGTTTCCGCTCGTTTGGTAATCACTACTATGAGTACAGTAATAATTTGGGGTGGGTAGACATGAATATGGTGAGAAGTCGGCTGGATGTTGGACAATTTCAGACAATACATGCATCTCAGAGGGTACGTAGAAGGTACAAACCAATGAATCTTGTCACATATCCAATAGGCCCGATGAGGAAGACCTCACTCGACACGAAGGCGAAGCCGCCACATCGAGACGAATCAGAAGCATTGACCATTGACTCGGATCATCTGCTTTAATGAAGACGAAGACGTCGAAACGTTAGGCGAAAATAAATATATTTATCGACCTCGTATAAGCTCCTCAAAAAAAGAACACATACTGATTAGTCAAATCGAAGTTAAAGGAAAGTCGGTTTCGAAATATCCAGTAGTTGTCGATTAACCTGAGTCATCTTTCTCATTGCTATATATGTTGGTCATCATTCTAGTTCTTCCCTTCAAATTCTCCTTCAGAATTCTTGGTTGACACTTAGCACAAAGAAATCCATCGGTTACCGCTTGATGAACCACAGACCGAAAATGAATCTTAATTCGTGTGTCTCCGACGTGATCCTAGCCTATGCACTTCGCTTTTTGACTAACTACACATTGTTCTTTCATTTCGCAGTCCCTTGAGGACACAAACGAGAGCTGGATATCTTTCACAGGCGTGGAAGGAAGAACATGGCGGACGCTCAGCACGGCAGAAATACGAAAATTACCAAAGAAAAACGCGGAAAAGCGAATTAAAAGCGTAAAGTCTTGCCGAAATGGTGGGGTAATTTGACGCCGGAAGAGCTACTCCAGTTGGTCCACATCGCATTAATGGCTGAAAAGTAGCGATTATTGCCAATTTGTTAGCTAGAACCATATACGACTTAAATATATTTAAAATTATCTTTTCTCAAAAAACTAATGTTTCTGCAACAGATAATTATTGACTCAGTGACTATAAATAAACATGAAAGAGACTGTAAAAGTGTAATCAGTTCGTTTCATGAACATAATGGTCAGCTCTAACCCATTCTTCGAAAGCATAGGCTAGCATGAAAATATGTTTATGGTGTCGAAAATAGAAGAAAAAACCTAGGCAATATAACAATTATTCTTCGCGATAACGGTCTTCACAAAAGTTGTCGTGGCCTTTGGCACACATACCTATCGCAAAATCAACCTACTAAGAGTAACCATATGATAGAGATGTTCTATGCATGTAGAACCTTTTCGAAATAAAACACCAGAGCTTAAATTTCACAACTATCTGTACCGTTACTGAGTAAACTACACATGAATTCTGTCATACCATACCATTTCTAGAGCGCAGGAAGCGCAGATGTTCGGGATGCCATACGATGGACGCAGAATCGCTAATTCGACCCCGCCCGCCCCAATGAAGCCTGCCTCTTACCGCTTACCAAGATTATATTTGATTTGTTTAGAAAGAATGCTTTCGTTTGCTTAAACTTGGTGACTCTTATGGTAAAAACCTGGAATGCTCTAACGGAGGTCCTCCAGGATTCCATGGAAAATCGGCTCCATCAGTATCTAGTGAAATTCATGAAGACAAAGCCTTTAACAGGCAGCCAGAAACAGCGTATTTTCCATGGCCTCCTTGACGGATGTGACGAAATGAGCCAAACTAACTGAATGAAACAAATGCTCGGATTTGCGTAATATATTAAGGCGAGTAATACAAACAAATAAATAGGTAAATACCACTTCGTCTTCTTCATGCCTTGCAGTAGCCATTTTGGATGCCATAACTAGGAGGACGAAATTTAGCGCGCCTCCTAAACACTCGAAGACTTACCTCAGATTGAACACAGCAACCAAGTAGCACAATATATAGCAGTTGATCAACACCGCGCACAGTAAGACAACCCACTATCGAAAGCTATACATTTAACCCTGCTCGTTTAACAAAGAGCACGACAGAGATCTCTTTATATGAACACATTAGTGGTCACTATGAGTTGTTTCAAAAAGTGAAGTATAAACAAACGAGTATGTAAGACATACAATAAAACTTCCAACAAGTGGAATTGTATGAACAATTGAAAGGTAGCATAACAAAAATCAGTGGTGGTTGCCATATAAAAACAAAAGAAGGGTGGATCTTCACATATTTCCCAACAAGTCATCTGATTTGAGCAAGTTTCTCGAATATCTCTTTCTTGTCATCAGGAAGCTTGTCAAATTTCCTTCGCAGTTTCTTTAGTCGAACTTCAGCAGGCCGGTCAACGTATCTGAACAACGTAATTTGCATAAATTATGAAGAATGATTTGCAATTCATCATATGTTCTATATGCCTGTTGTTCAAAGATTACAATTTCATTCACCTTTGTTTCTTTCATAAGTTCATAAGGCTTAATTTCCATTTACGGCCGCGTAACACTCGGTTGATTCTCAGTCGCGGGCCTCATGTATTGAACCCAATACGTAGGTAAGTTTTGCTCACCACACCGCAGAAAATAAATTAGGTATCTACTTTATTAGCAACAGCCTTTTTCCTATTCAATTGGTAGAACAGGTGAGAAACGCCACTAGACTTCTGTATAGGGACGTTGCAGGCAGTAGAAACGTCCTTGTACCCTTCTTTTTTGTGGTATTCTGACCACCAAAGATATCTTAGGGTCTTCCCAACCAGCAAAAGTCTCAACGGCAAGAAGAAACTCATCCGAAACTTTCATACGAAACGTGGAAAGTAGGGCATAGCTCTACAACATACCATGCTCTCCACAAGATGCGACGAAGCTAATGATTGGATACAAAAAGCCTCTTCAAAAAAATATGCACATTAAAGTAGCCAGAAAAGAACAGAAATCAATGAAGAATATCTAACTTAGCCCATGTATTGAAATCAATGCACAAAGTGCCACCAATACCACAGAGGTATTCACTGACTAGATGTTCACTGTTTAATTCTTCATTTCCTTCATCATTTGAAAGTCAACCTTGACTAATTCTCCGTGGCTCTGTTTTGTCCACCATTCGAACGCATTATTACACAAACAACTACGTTCCTTTCCTTGACTATGGTGATTGCGTGCATAGAACCCATAAAATTTACGGATTGCTTATAACCGACATTATGGAGTTGACTGTTATCGAAACGAAAAGATATGGACTAGAGAAGTTGTGGGAACAGACAAATGATACAGGATGACGAGATCGATCCCTGAATTAAGTCCAGAATTAATAGACGCGAACTCTCCATAACTGAAGATGTAGTTGAGTCTGTAAAGAAGAGGTTTACAGATCATTTGCTCAATGAAAGAAGTCACTTCCATACCGATAAATGATGTACAAGTCTTCCTTCGGCCAATTACTGCGGGTGTCGTCGTAATGGTTCAATAAAAAAAAAACTGCAATGAACTTCCATGGCAGAATATCTACACTCTCTCTACCAATAGGTCTCTGTGGTGGGCATCCTCTTCGACAAAACAGTCCTTTATCACAAAATAAACTTGTTCGCAACACTTTTTGTAAATTATCAAGATAGAAAACAGGTTTTTGGGGGTGTGCTTGACACATTTGCGTTGGCTGAGTTATTGACTGAATGGAAGTCCTGGAAAAAAGCACTATATCCACCAAAATGAACCACTGAAATGCATTGGGAACAATGCAACTCGTCCAACCCCCTCATCGCCCAAAACAATTGCTTAGTCTAGCATCCTAGCTTTTGACATTATCCCTAATTAAAGGATCGACTGGATGTAGTTTTAGGATATTAGAGCAAAATAATAGAGAGAGCTAAAATCTACTAACTTATCCATCTTCGTCGAACAAAAGAGATCAAAAGCCGTTTTTTCCTGCATCACGTGAGAACCGTTAGGCGGTTTGTTGCTTTTCACTTTCGAATTCCGTTGGGATGGAAATACCTTAAATAAACATATAAGTCTGAAGTCCCTCAAAAATAAATAACAGTGGTGCTAAAGAGGTCGGATAATCACCTTTTTTCGCATCAGCTTAATCTTGTGCTCAACGAACTCTGTTTGCTTCGGTAGCAAAACATCACGATGGTTAGAAAGAAACTCTTCCATCTTTTTAAGGAAAGCCTTCTGAAAATAAGCATTTTCGCAGAAAAAAAGTTATCTAAGCACGTAAATAAGTAGTTCAGTTGTTTAGACCTAGTATATAAATACGGAAAATAAGCAACCTTTTTATACGACCCCTCTTCTACATCTACTGTCCGGATTCAATTTGTTCCCTCACATCCATCATCCACTAAGGTCTCCCAAGTTTTATTTATGGCTTCAGCTGCTGGTTAAGGATTTTCATTTCATCTTGAATGTCGTAAAATGCTGGTAGAGTCGATTCTCATTACAATCCTGAGATAGCCGGGCTGGAGTGTTCCCAGTTGGAATGCAGAGAGTAAACCCTTCCCGGACTAGTCCGGTAGCAATTCGCCCTGATCCCGGATGGATGAGAGATATGGTGAACCCGAAGCGGGATAGAACCAGCACCGATCGCGGTGATCGTTTAGTTTAGAAAATATGAAATAAATTCGGGACTAAGAATGTGTGTTCATACCTACATCGATTTAACACATTTGCAAAGACGCTTAATTTTGCGTGCTCGCCCTCGACGGAGATGCAAAAATTCTCGTCGCACGCGTTGTAACTTGAACACAGGTCATGCCGCCTACAATTACCAGACAAAACTAGCCGCACTTAGTTCTATAGTTTCGCCCGAAGATACACTCCGAAAGTTCATAAAGAAAGGCAAAAGAGCTTCTGAAAAACAGGTATTTCGACCAACATCGCAATGCTAATATATTGAGAACAGATGGTCATACACCATTTGCAGAAGATCAGCACAGGTAGACCACTATCGACACAGAAAAGCGAGGATTCCAGATGCGGCACAAAACATGAAAATCGTAAAGAAATGTCGCCGAGATTTTCGTAAACACATTTTGTTTTCCGCTCTACTCGATGAACACGGGAGAATTACAATTCCTCATAGCAAGATGGAATCAATAACAAAGATATTCTGTACAAATCCCTTCTGAGCCACAATGTCTCTACTAATCCCTGCCAACTTCAGCCAAATAACTTCCTTCAACAATCCTTCTCATAGAAGTCCGAACAGTAGTTATAAGTTTGAAGGTTGTTACAGCTCCTGGACCAAACACATAATTCGGCTAATCTATTACACGTAAAGCCCCGTGGTTAGAGGCACCCTGAAATACACGTGGGATCGATCCCGCGCCCCAGGCTCAACAAACCATCCACTTCTCCGGAGTTCGCAAATTGGTATCAGACTTGTCTGAGAGGATAGCAACACCGGCTCGAAATATCGGTAGGCCACCGCGAATCATTGTAAAGGTCAGATATGCATTCAATCACCTCCAAAGGATGTTTAATGAAGTCGAATGCATGGCGCACCCAACAGGGATTGATCAACGTCGAGAGTTTTACCCTCTATTCAATTTTATTACAACAAAAAAATATTCGTAAGTGTTGAACACCAGCGTCCAAGCACAGCAATCGTCATATCCTCGTCACCGAATAAGTCAGTGGGACGCGCACTTTTTTGAACTACTTAGCTACGGAACAAAGTTGTCCGACAAACACTTTGTAAATTATTAAGTCACAGGAACGGAAATTATCTGCCACCGAGTATGACACGACTTTAGGTCAGAACGTTGCAAACGTATTGAACAAATCTGTAGACTAGAAGCCGGCAAAGGAAACAACAACAAAAGATGCATGTAATAGAAGGATGGTACGTAGAGCTGTAAATCAGGAACACCTAGGTGGATTGGAGCATAAATTCCAACAGTTCATTCCAACGAATCGTTTTTCTCCGATCGAAATGGATTAGTATGTTCTTTTTTGCAAACGGAAAAACAACAACTTAAGGTAACCTAAAAAGATTACTGCCTTGACTGAAGTGGCGTCTAGAGGAACTCAAGGCACAATGAGAGCTCAGTTCTAGTAATTTGTTAACAGTCGGTCATTCAGTTGCGCTGTTGTGCAGCAATTCCAACATCATACCTCAAGCTCGCCTAGTTCTCGCTCGCACTCCTGCTTGCCAATCTGATCTTCCTTCATGCGGTCTGTCACCTCCTAAAAAACAGTTAATATACTAGTACGTAACTTAGTGTCAATCTCAAAAACTCACGATGGTATTACTTACGTTTCGACTTACTCATCACTGGATGAACGTTATTTCACCAAATGACTTTTCTGTACCTTTCTTTTCTCTTTATGGCAAAACTATGTCCTTACAGTGAAGAGTGGAAGAAAAAGGTTTCCGACAACTCTTTTTCTTCACGTGCAGTAAAGGTTAAGGCACGCCCCAGGACGATTATTTCAGGATTCCAGGGAGCTCCGACTCGCCTAGCATTCTATCACATTAATTAGGATGACGAAAACCCTTTAGGAGAAGCTCATAAGGAGCATCAAAAGTTTGAAGACCTTCATCTATGATAGATGAGAGAAAACTAATAAAATGAAAGAAGTGCTGTTATTTCAAAATATATGCGAAGGTAGCTCGTGTAAGATAAAATCTAAAAAAAGAATAGAAAACATGTGTACATAGGTAAATAAATATGTATTCATATACATACAAGTGTATATATATGTATGTAAATATCCATTTGTCAACCCATCGAAATCGGTGGAAAATGAGGAGTAAACTGCCTAGAAACGTTGCGAGCGAAGTCCGCCTAGGATTCTAAGAAAATGATGTCAGTCAGTTGGGAACATACCATTTCCTTCTAGTAAATTCTTATCGATTAGCTCACCAGAAATGATCTTCACAAGGAGCAACTTATGCTGTTGGCACAATCAATCCAACTCAGAACACCAAACCTTTGATGAAGTGTCGCCATAATGTGATAGTACCCAGCCGTAAGCAGGAAATAAACAATAATGGTGATCAAGGTTGTTTGCAAAGTTCTAAAAACTCGGCATTTTCACTAGAGCTTACTCTACTACTGTGGCAGTTTTCCCGCTTCCTCTTCAAGACTAAGCTTGGCGTTCACGTCAACAAACAGTGTAAGATTCGTCTACACGGCTGCTGACCAAAACATTTTAGGTCTAGATCGGCGGAGTAGAAAAGTGGCCAAATGTCTTGAAGAGTTGGTAGACAACGAAGGAAAATGCGATTCATAATTATTTGCTTATACTCGGGCTGGGAACAAACGATTCCAAAAAGCTTTGAAGATGTTAAGGACAAAACTTTGCAAAAATCCTTTGTGACGCAAAACACGCAGACCTACCTTCACCTTCCCAAAAGCTGCCGTGCAACCAAATTTTTTGCTATAATAGGTTGTCAATGAAGGCGGTTTCACGGGAAAATCAGGGTGCATCAATACACTCTCAGGGCGACCAAGGTATTCGTTTACATTCCTAGAAAAGAGATGAGATTGAAGTGGATTCTGAAAACATGCTTCGTAAAGATAGATAAAAATACGACTTCCAGCGGATTTAGCCTACTCCAGAGCTTGGAAAGATCAAGTTGACTGCAATCAGCCGAACATCTCCATAATCAAACAGGAGTTGGATGTTTACGGTGCTTGTTTATGGAGGTGTTAGGTGGGTAGATTGCGGTCAAATCGACTTTTCCAGGCTCTGGAGTAGGCGAAATCCGTCGAAAAGTCAGCTTTTTAGTAATAAAGAATAGAATAACTCCTTGTGTAAATATAAAGAATTATTTGGTCAATATTGAGACTAATAGAAAGTCGATAATGACGATAAATAAAAGTCACAGAAGAACTGCGAAGTTACCTAAAACAACTCTCCATGGACATATTGGAAGGCTTAAGTGACGCAGCCACATATCGCTTGAATGACTTGAGAAAGACTCTAAACGCCGATGAAACATGTACCTCACAAAATAAACGGAAAGAACTCAAGTACTCCACCGCAGAAGAACTCACTCCTGATCGAGTTGACTAGAAGAATCGTTTTGTCTACGAGCAAACCATTCGTCGAATAGTCCCTTAATACGAGACAGGGAGGTCGATAATTTCCCCCTTTGTGCCACGAATTCTCGAAAACTCTGCAATGCACTCATCTCCAAGAAAAATAACGTAGGAAAAATAAAATAGAAAGAAGAAACGATAAATTTTAGGAGTTGATCTATCGTTGAGGGATGCGCCATGCATTCGACTTCATTAAGTATCGTTGGAGGTGACTGAAGGCATATCTGACCTTCATAATGACCCGCGGTAGCCGACCAATGTATAAACTCAGTGCCGCTAAGCTTCCAGACAAGTCTGGTACCAATATGCCGAACCCGGAGGGATGGAAGGCTTGGTGTGCCAGGGTGCGGGATCGATCCCATCTGTGTATTGTAGGGCGCCTCCGACCGCTGCTCTACACGCGCGCCAAGGAAAACAAGAAAAATAGGAAAATCAAAATGAGGAGAAAAAGTAACTCCAATCACAAGACATGTACACAAATGGTGTGGGAGATGGAAGTACAAGCCTCGTACCTACAATAGTACGCACCTCAACATGCTCGAGCATAACACGAGGTTGAATCAGATCCTCTTTTCCGTGGCATAATTCGTCAGTGTCTTCATAATCGTCAGGATCATCCTCACAATCCATACTCTAAACAGGTTATCAACGCTTCCGAGCTCAATAAAAACCAAGAGAACAAAACAACTGGTTTGAATAAGCGAACTGTAAGGCCATTTACCACCGTAGCAGGGCACAAATTCCGAAGTACTCGCTTGGGCTATAAAATTATTCTCCCTATCCGTGAAGAGATATTCCCATTTCAAATAATCGTACACACTTCTCTAGAAGAACTGGAGGGAAATCTGCTATCACCGAGAGCTTAAAGCACTTTTACCGCTTCGTGCATTTAAAACATTAACTGTTAACGTAAGAAAGTGATAGGAAACCTGTTGTTTACGGTGGGTACAGCTGTTCCCTCTACTGTTTTGCGCTATATTTTACGCTCTGGATAATTCTTAATAAAACAAAGCCACGATCTTTGAATAGAACGGTGTCCATGAGAAATGTTCTATGTACAATGACAATATGCTGTCATACACAACTTCTATTGTTCACTAGCGATCGCCTTAGCACAAAATGAACAAAGTAGGACTAACTTTATCGGCTCTAAAAGACGGCTCATCCTCGCTGTCTTCACGAAACCGCTTCTTTGCCGGCGAAGGCATCGATGTCTAAACAAGTGCTTCAACATTAATTGGCTCATTAATGAACGCGATGTGTGGACGGCTTTGGCCAGAGTAATGCTCTAGTGCTAAAGGTTTTTGCAGAGGCCGAATGGATCTCATGAACAAGTGGACCGACACATTAACATAACCATGACCGAAAGCTCCCAGAGACAGAGAAGCTTAAACTTCCAAGAACATTTAGCAGTGTTGCGGCATTCCCATAACTTATTGTGCATTACGTCCACCTACAGCAGTAAAGTGGCAAAGAGAACTCTGGTTTGTCCTCTAATTTATTAGTCAACTCAACCGAAACAGTAGGGATGTAATGAATCTATCTGGAAGGTATTCAACTGAGTAAAATCCTTTAGATCCCTCTAAAGTGTAGTTCGTGGCGAAGTGGAATCATTGAGGACGTTTGGCTGAAATCTGAAGCGTGAAGGTGGGCGCGGACAGTCGCCGTGGTCCACTACAGCGAGGACTTTGCAACGCATAGGGTATCCAGGCCATGATTCTACAACGGTTCTGTGGCTTAATGTTTGGAAGAAGCCTGTCCACCTCAGTGCTCTTCGCTACTTCTGCCAATCCAGAGAAATGTTCCCATCAATCAGTTGCTAACGAAGCACGTCCGGGGACCTATACGGTAAGTTCCTTCCATCATATGTTGGAAAAATGGTTAAAAGGAAAGGAGAAAAAGGCCTCAGTCACATAAATTATGGCTGACGATGTTGTTATAAAGGGATTTTCCATTACTTTAGATGCTCTCATCTCACTTAACAACGTTGCGATACATTTTTCTTGGCCGTTGGTTGTTTTTTTCTTTTAAACCACGGTTGAGGTTGCAGGTGGATGGAAAGTGCTTCCTAACGGATCAGTTCTGGAATGTCAGTCCGGCTGTGCAATCACTTCTGAGCCGTCGATTGCTTCTGGAGCCGTTCAATCCTCTCTCTTTACTGAAGCGACGGATAGTGGACCATATGCATCAGACCTATAGAAAATCAGGGGAGATTCCTATCACATCTCTTTATGCTGACCACTGATGTTGGTGCTAAAGCAATAGTAATCGTTACGTAAACACGTTAGAGCCCTTTTTAGGGAGTAGAAGTCCTGTTTTCACTGTTTGCGAAAACGAGGCTAGAGTTGTCTCAACGTTCGAGAATTTTGACTCTCTGCTGATTCCTTTGGATCATGTCTCCAGGTGGGTTCGAACTATTTGTCGAAACCTGTTCTTCGCAATGCACTAGTTGCAATTTCAACGGTAATATCGAGTACGTGGTCGGAGGCACCCTGCAATGCACACGGGATTGATCCCCGAGCCCACCAAGCTCCATCCATCCAGGGTCATCAAATTGGTACTAGACTTGTCTGGGAGGATAGCAGCACTGGCTCGATACATCGGTAGGCCACCGCGAGTTATTGTAAAGGCCAGATATGCATTCAACCGCCTTCAGCGATGCTTAATGAAGTTGAATGCATGGCGCATCCCTCAGAGATTGATCAATGCCGAGAGGTTTATCCTTTGATAGCTTTAATCGAGAAAGAGTCAACACTTTTCTAATCCCGCATATTTTGATTTCTGTTGCAAAATTTAAGAAGGCCATCGGATACGTACTACATCAACAGCTCTCACTGCCTGCGTGCGCACACTTCAGCACACCAGTATCGGTTGTTGAAAGAAGGACTGGATGCTTTCCTTGTGATTGGAGATGTGTATCGTCGCGATGAGGTGAACCGTACCCATTATCCGTGCTTTCACCAGGTTCTTGCTTTTCTCTTTTATCTCAGCCATGGTCCACTCCTTGTTCAGTACGTAACGATAGAGTATTTGAGGTAGAAGGTGTTCGGGTGTTCTCTTCGCATCAGCTGTTCAACTGCACTCCTGTCAATCCCATACCAATTTTGGAAAATGGTGAAAAGACTGCAGTTAAACAAGAGACACATACTGAAGATTCAGCAAAGGCACTTCAAATCCAACTAAAGAGTACTCTCGAGGTATCCTCATGTGATCCCATTCAGGTTTATTGTCAGTTATAGTTTTATTCAATGGCTTTACAGGGCCTTAGTGATGCGCTTTTTGGCGTAAATTGTACGAAGCGATGGGTCGATGCATATTTCCCATTCACTCACCCATCCTTCGAACTTGAAGTATGTCGTCTTTCAACACTTATTACATTGCTATTTTTCTTAATAAATTGAAGCAATGGTAAGCTGAAAGCTATTGGAACACACATGGGCAACTTCAGAGAATGTTCTAGTGGTTTAAAAAAGTCTTTGGAACAACATTATCAAGTTCAGAATGCATTGGGTTTCTGAGTTACTTTCATTGATTACATCAAATTGTACATGTGCCGACGACGTTCATGTCTTTTTGATTTAATGAGCTACTTACTCGAGTACACTTTCCCAAGTCGTGGCGCGATTCTACCCCGCTTGGGGATTGCACTAAGCTTTTCCACTTTGAGGCTAGGCTTCTACAGACCTGATGTGGCTCTTTGCATCATTTACTCCTAACTAGACTTTCGGATGGAAACAATCGAATTCTTAAGCTTTGGAAACCCTGTTGGGAGGAGCTTCTCGTTGTGCATAGCTGTTCAGCACCACTCAGTCACGATGAAGAAGAAAGTCATAAAAAGGAATGAAGTACAAAACCTACTATGAAAGTCCTAATTTTTTTTTGTAGAGAATAGCACCTCGTGTTTGCTGGACAGAAGTGGAAAGAAATGTTCAATCAATGCCGAGGTTAATAGAAAGTCGGACGTGGGAGTCCTAATTGCATCAATTAATTCTATCAATCAATATCAGGAAGTGTAGGGAAAGGAAGAAGGTTTCTATAGCGTGAGGAAAATCTGGACGCTAGTACCATAGTGGTGGAGGTCACCTGCAGTACTTGCTATGACATGGATTGTCTTCATGAAAGCAAGTTAGAATCAGTGGACAAAACATTCCTTGTATAAGAAGCCACTGCAGAATGCTGTTACATCATTGGAGCGGTGCCCCATTCCACTGAATTCGAGTCAATGCGACTATGAAGACTCACAACGAAATAATGAAAGGCTGTGGACAAACGAATCGAATCACTCCGGCTTTTAAGAAAGCGAAGGCGTCGCATCATCATCCGAGTAAAAGCTTTGCAACAACCTAATGCTAGCTTATCAATAAAATCAATGAAATAATATATACAGCATCGTTGGTTCCGTCTCGCGTTCAAATCTTATCATGTTCGCCACTCATTGTAGGTTAACAAATTTTTACCAGACTTTTCTGCGAGAACAAATATGTTGAATTGGCACGTCGCTAGAACTCATTTAAGGCTATATGCGTTCTGTGACGTCTACGATGCTTCATGAAGTAGATTGCATAGAGCATTTCTTAAAGATTGGTTGACATCGAAAGCTTTCACTTTTCATAACGAGGGTACGAACCTCTCTCACTAAACGATTTATTAGCAGATTATTAGCGACGCTACATGGCACGTCCAAAGATGGCAGGTAGGGAATTAAACACAAACCGAAGTTCTTTTTGTGCTTTTCTGAAAAGTCGTCGGACTCACGAGATGTACTCTCTGTTTTGCTCCTCCACTCTAACGTTTACCTACCATATTTAAGTAGACATGTTCATATGTAAATGGAGGTTGGTGGGAGTAGTTTAAAACAAAGGAAAAAATCTATGGAGTGAGTTCTATGTGAAAGACAAGGTACTACCTATGAGTATACCCAGTCCCCACAGAATAACTCGGGCAAGTTACCCGCGGATCTCATTCGCCGAACCATAAAATAAGTATGGATCCTGAGGTCTGTAGTTATAGCGAATATACACTAGCATATACATTCTCCATTAAAGACGTGATGGTACAAGCTAAGAGAGTTACGTATCACAATTCAGAGATGAGAAACCGCGCGTTTGACACAATCACAACTGCTCTTTGGAAAATGCAACAGTCGAAGATTTGGCGGCATTCGAGTCCTTGTCAGCACGTCTATGGCCATGAACATCAACTCCATTGAACATCCAACAACTCGAATCGAACGTTTCTTGTTGAAGAAATTTAGATTAGTACCGTCTTTGGCAATCTTCGTTGCACGCGCTTCAATACCAAACTATGTTGAAAAGAAGGCCACAGTGTTTTGTTTCGATTTAGGGACATTCTACCGAAAAACCGTACTTTTTCGCTTTTTGCAAAGTCATCACTGGTAGTTTCAACGCTAAGATTTCCAGAAGATTGCCACTGCCTAGAAGAACGTCCGGAAAACTTCGTAATGGGGCCAATGGTTTCGAATAGAAGGAAGGCGGCTGAGTTTATGATAACCAAAACCATCCACAGCAAATCTCAGTCTCGTAATCCTTTGTGTCACGTCTGACTTATGATCCCTCCAATAGAATAGACCACGTAGGGAATAGAAAAAATAAATGACAAATAAACAGAAATAACATAAAAATAACAAAGAATAATTAAAAAATAAAAATAGACAAGATTGGATAGGACAAAGGTAGGGCAAGGGTCTGCAAGGCTTCAAAACTCGCCTGAGGTCCCAGGTTTTGCTCATATCTCGGTATCCTTGTGGTTCTATTTCACATAATAGCCTTCCATGAGAAAGATAAGGCAGTAAGTAAAAGTTGAAACGTTGCGACTTCGACAGCAGCTTCAGCTTAACTAGGCTGAATCGCGATTTGTGCTTCTCAGACTATTTCCGTCGACAGACTATTTTTGATAGCATCGTTGAAGCAAAAGGAAAGAAATTGTTTGGGAGAAAAGCAAAGTCTCCCGTTGATGTGGTGGATAGGAGGTAACCCTCCGGAAAGGGTAATAGCGGGTTCAAAAACACGCTTGCAATTTCGAACTTTTTTCAAATCTCAGCGCCGTTTAATACTTAGAAAGTCTTTCCTAATAGATTTTACATTCGTCGGGCCATCAAGTTCTACGTACGAGCCTTTTTTTAGCAGAAAGTGTGGGAAAACCGCAAGCAGGTATAGGTTTGGAACAATAAGTTGTTATACGTGTAATGTTATTTACACTTGATATTATATGTAAAAACCTGGCTGTTTACAAATTGTTTTTAGGTATTCTACGACGGAAAGTGGTTAGAAGTCCTAGGTTGTGGTGTCATAGAACAGCGCCTGTTAGAGAGCGCTGGTATCAGAGACAAGGTCGGATGGGCATTTGGTCTTGGCCTTGAACGGATAGCGATGGTGCTATATGGTATTCCAGATATACGGTGCGTCTAAAGACTGCTCAGACCTGCAGTACCGATCTGTGAACTTTGTTTTTGTTTGAGTTTGCGACATGAAATCTCTAGAGGTTAAAAAATTTCAACAAATTTTTTAAAATTCATCCATGTACTTTTTTAGCAAAATGGATTTCCGGTTTATGCGAAGTAATAGACTGAATCATGTTCGTAATAATGTCAGTCTTTAATGCTAGAGAAACCTTGACCGAATTATGTTATTTAGACTTTTCTGGAGCAAAGATTCTGGATTTCTTTCACAGTTTAGTGGAAAATCTCCAATGGATTCCATAAAGTATAAACCAGTGAGCGTTCATCCTCAGGTCTGTGCTGCACGCTCTTTGCTCACTCTACCACATCAATGTGAAGAAGCAAAAAAAATCTCCTACGTCTTCAGGTGTTGTTCGATATGTCGTTTTACCTACCAAAAGGTGTTTTTTTCAACGATATGACCTCGAACGTTTATGATGTCGTAAGAAACGTTGGAGGGGATTTGGTGGAGCAGGTTTGAATTTATAACACTTAGCACTCCGCGCTTTCTTCTCAAAATGCATTCAAAATCCTGCTGATTATTAAATGGCTTTACAATTCAAATGGTTATATTAACAGCACAATCTTCGATCCACAAATGAGTGCCATATTAAGAACTTCTAGATCGGAAGCTGTTTAGTTGTGTAAATTCGCCTTTTTGTGCAGTCCTCCTTTTCTCCGATGAAGTATTGAGGTATGGTGAAAACGAGTCCACTAACGAAAGCCGCTTTTGTGAAAAATTAGTGAGCTCGCTTTCACCGTACTTCAGTACTTCATCGGAAAAAGGAGGATTGCATGAAAAGGCGAATTTGCACAACTAGTTTCCGAACTAAAAGTGCTAAATCGCCAGCCGATAGTGGATACGAAAGGACAGAGCCACTAGTCGACAAAACGATTCTTCGAAAAAAGTCGTTAACTTACAGCTCATTTATGAAACCTTTAACAGTCTATATCGGTTCCTAAGTGGAATGCAGGGGACCGTGTTCATCTACTGTATCAGCACCTTCTGAGCACCATTCCTTGCATGGTTTCACCAATGAGAAAAGTTTCCTTCTATCATTGAAAAGTAAAGATGGTTTTCCAGGTGATTCTCACTGATGAATTCGTAGATAAGAAGAATCGAATGAGCCAAACATATAGAATCGTATACAGGAGTCACACTAAGGCTCTCACGAAAGCTGAAGTTAACGTTGTACATAAACAGATTGCGGATCAATTAACGCAGTTCTATGGTGTTACTCTAAGATAGTGTTGTTCAACAATATTTTTCGTTCAGTTTTTACGGGTTGTAAATTAAATCTTTCTTTAACAGGAAGTGTATCCTTTATTGACTGTTGACAAAACAAGTCTTTCGAGTTAAGTACAACAGCACTGAAAATCGCAAGCATGCAACCTTAAATATCAGCGCAGTGGTCTAAATTGTTGTAATACGAATCTGAATTCGTAGCACATAGCGTTTGAAGCTCACCTTTGAGTGAGTCCCAGTGAAACGACATTTTCGTAGTGGTTACAAGCCGCCGCTTCCTAATAGCCAAAATGAAGATGATGGCTTTTCGTTAATAAACGCTGTTTTTCCGATAACTGGAGAATTTGGACACTTAGGAACATGGTGAATTTGTGTAGGTAGCTTTGCTTTATTGGTCTAGAGGCATACATAGGACGTGTGTGGCGCCGTGGTCGGAGGTGCCCTGCAACACACACGTGGAATCGCTCCGAGCGCTCATGGCCCACCAAGTCTTCCATCCCTCCGGGGTCGGCAATTTGGTACCAGACTTGTCTGGAAGAGTAAGAGCACTGGTTTGATACATTGGTAGCACACCACGAGTCATTTTAAAGGCCAGATATGCATTCAGTCACCTACAAACGATGCTTAGTGGAGCCGAGTGCATGACGCATCCTTCAAGGATTGATCAATGCCGGGAGCTTCATCCTTTTTATCCTTTGAAGGTATATATGCTTGTATGTATGTTGCCATTTACTATATATTCCCATGGTCTATCACATAACCACGTTGCTGTTAGCATTTGAAAGTTTCTTGCAGCTCTTGTTGGGTATATTCCGGCATTTTTTCTGTATCTCTTGTAACTGCCTTGGTAATAATTATAACTATGTGTTACGACTTTCTTAACATTTTTATTTACTGCCTACTATAATTTTCACGGCAGGGTATCATGTGAAATACAACCAAGATTATGCTGAGATGATGATAGAAAACTAGCTGAGAGACAGGCGAAACGAAGAACCCGCATAATGTGCTGGTGAACGCGTTGGCCCCGGAAAGAGTAATTGCGCGTTCGTTCCCCACCGCAGACACTTGTGGTCCGCAGTTTTGCAAATATCTCAACATCATCTTGGTTGTTATGACTTTGTTTAACCTTTGTTTACTGCCGATTATTTTTCAATGGTAGAGCATCATGTGAAGTACGAACACAGTGGTGCTAGGAGATAAGAAAAGCTCGGAACCTTTTCGAACCCACGATTTCCCTTTTCGGAGGTTCGCATACATATCCACTGCTGATAGCACCGTCAGCGTAAGAAACAATGCAGAGCAAAAGTACCGGTGGTGCAGTGAACAACACGTGAACCGCGGAAAGGATAATCACGGATGCGATGTGCACCTGTGGCTCTGAGTTTTGCTCGTATATCGGCTACAAGGTGGTTGTTATGACCCTATTACACGATAACCTTAATTTATTGCAGTGATTGGAAGTGAATGACCAGTCAGTTACCGGTAGAAAATTGATCTTTACATGTCTCGTATAAGAGATAGCGCCGATTTTATATATCTCCCTGGGTCTCAAAGATTTTACGGATTTATAAGAGATCCTTTGCTATATCGCTCTACGGATATACATGTTGAGATACAAAAAGTGTGAGGAAAAAGCGTTTTTGGCACGCACCATTTGAAAGGAAATGCACTGGGTGTAAAGCACTTCGTACATTGTGTAGCCATAATATCTTGGACGTTATGTATTAAAATAAGAGGTCTCATATGTCAGGAAAGTCTTGTTGCTAATCCTGTAATATTTACCGACGTATTGAAACTGCCATTATTGCCATATAAGTGAAGAAACAAGTCCTCTGATAACGCCGTCGGCAGTTGTGATATAAACGCTTCTGCTTCCTGTTTCTTCAACTGTAGATATGGTGAGTTCTCTCCAAAATGTCCCCAGTAAAGCAAAGACTCGTGTGCGTATCAACTATCGGTGTAGAGGTCCCTTCCTTTATTCTGCATATACTAAATAAGCCTCATCACTATAGAGGTTTCGTAGGTGTACGTCTCTATCTCCAGATCCATCTACAGGTATAGATGCATCGTCAGCTGCGTCTAACAAGATTTCGTAGGTGTGGCTACTTCTTGTGGCCAGACTTTGGCCAGGCTGTCCTCAGAATTCCAGGGAACCACAATGGCTTAACCAGCAAATTTCCGAAAAATGTTGATTATATTGGGGTCCGCACAACTAGTGATAACGGGCCGTTCAAGTATCAAGTAACAAGAAACGAAAAGAAAGGAAAAGAAAAGTAACAAACTCTACCTCTCAAAGGCACGAGGGATTCGTCAATACATAGAAACTTTAGAGGTCTGTATAATCAGATGAAGTTCCTATTGAAACCTTCAATTAGCGACGCACAGCAGAGTTCTATATTGCCCTCCACGTCTGCACCTTCTTTATCGTCGCTTTCGGCGAAAAGCAATTTTTAGTCAGTGAACTTTGTTCGAAATGTAAGCACCTTCTGACTTTTCGATAGTTCCATATAACGTATGAGTACACCTTTATAGAAACTAAACACCCTCTTCTATGTCCTTTAAGCTTCTAATTCTTTACGTGCTCTTGTTATCGAAAAATTATTGAGAATTATCGACAAACCAACACTGTCCATATGAAAAGCATTTAAAATTGGATTTAGGCTAGTGGGTGTTACTTCATTTATACTGCTAAGATTAAAAAATGATTATTGTCTGGAATACTCAGTTACAAAAAATGGCGAATAGTATCCAGCAGAAGTGAAAGAACACTTCTAAATGGTAATAGCAGTAGGCTTTTATGACGACCTGCAGTAAACTATAGTAGGTACTAAAAATATGTACCCCTAGAGCAATAAGGGACGTGGGGTAGATCTTTCGGCGTTGATCTTTCCCTGGGATGCGCCATAAACTCGACTTCATTAAGCATCGCCGGAGGTGACTGAATGCATATCGGACCTTCACAATGACACGCAGTGGCCTGCCGATGTATCGAGCCAGTGCTGCTGTCCTCCCAGACAAGTCTGGTACCAATTTGCCGACTCTAGACAGGAGGAGAGCTTGGTGGGCCTGGGGCACAGGGATCGATCCCATTTGTGTTACAGGGCGCCACCGACCACTGCTCTACACGCCCCTAGAGCTGTAAGGCAGAGTAATTCTCCTACAATTCCATAATGTTCTCAAGCGTGCAAGTCCTCGAACTATCTAAAATTTCTCGTTTACTGCGGAAAAACCGGCACTATTTGTTGCATGCGGTGTTTTAATCCGGCTTGGTTATCCATGTCGAAGACAAAGTCGGTTATATTTCTATTTCCCAGGTAATTATTTACTTGTAGGGGTCTGAATAGCGAAATGGTTCAAGTTTTGTTTGCTACACACATGGCTATAATTCGACCTCGTACCCACCAAAGAAGAATTCCATAAATACCTGAGAAGTCAGGACTTCAGAACCAACTGGACCAGCATTCAATGATTTTCATAAAGATGATCAGAAATCCTCAAGCGGGAAACTATACTCGTATTCGAAAGCCTTCTTGGATGATGAATATAAGGAAACGAATCGCATGAAGGAAATGCCTAGCTCTGCAGTCTATGTGATGCTAGGTCATGCTAAATGAATTGCATCTACACCGCACTAGAACACTAGAAGGGCACGTACGGTGGAGCAGCAAAACATCGACAGCATTCTAACAGCAAGAATTTGTATTTAGCATAGCGACCACCTGTATTTGCAAGCGTATAGTTGACATAGGAATCCCATACTGAGTATGATGCGAGCTGAGGAGTCGGACAATTTCATCGGAATGCTCAGTGGAAAAAGACACCGCCCAGCAAATGCCATCCATAATAATGAAGGAAAAATGTTCCCCAAAATACAAAAGGAAACAAAAGTTTCTTTTTCACTACTAAAGTAGTCGACCTAGCAGTAAGACCTGGCTTGACACGAAGGCGAAGCTGCCACATCGAGACGAATTACAAGTGTGGACTATCGACTCGGATCATCGGTTCTGATGAGGATGAGGACGAAGACTTCGAAAGGTTAACCGAAAATAAATATATTTTTCAACCTTGTGTAAGCTCGTCAACAAAAAAGAGAACATAAAGTAGTTGAGTTGAGAACTTGATGGTCTTATAAATGACGCTTTACTCTATCTCTTCAAGTATGAAAAATAAATTTCTGAGATGGTTCTACAACTTCACATCAGTTCAAAGATCAAATTCATGGAAAACTGAAAGGGAAGTTTATCCACTGTCGGAGCAAGCATGGAAGCGGCACAATATTGAGACACACTGAGAGAGACCATCTCACCCTATTCTGCGAAATCTTAACTGTCCAATCGCTCCCATGTTCGAAATACGAGTCTGCATGAATAGGAGCAGAAGAGTAGGTTGCGCATGCTCCAGGAAGTGAGCATTGATCTGAGTGCAGGGAAAATATTCGTAGTTCTATGAGACCGCAACACAAAATTGGTAGTATTGGCGAAAAGGTTAAGATTTAAACAAGCACGGAAGCGATGTACATGAACGTCAGTTCGTCCTGCTGGATGGAAAACACTCTTGTCCAATATAGTTTTTTTTAAATAAGACTTTTTTACGTGATCCGACGTCGGTTGTTACGCCGGTCCCAGCACATCCTTTGTTCAATTCGGCTGTTTGCACTCATCATCCATGGAAATCTTGGGACTAGAGTGTAATTTCGGCTCCTTGTTGAGGATTCTTGTTTTCTTTATAGGTGTTCTTGACTGGTGGTCGAGTCGATTCACCTTAGAATCCTACGATAGCCATGCTATGGCATTCCTACGAAGTTGACGGTTTGAGTTTCTCCCAAATAATTTTGGTACCAATTTGCCGACGGCGAAGAGCTTGGTGCCACCGATACGAAGTAGAGTCTTGTTCGTAATGGTTGTAAACTTCGATGTTTGTCTATGGCTCTCTAGAAGAAATAAAACGCACTTTCGGACCTGAGAAAATTAGGATTTCTTCATAGTAGAATAGGACAAGTTTCCCTTTGTAGGAAAAGGTCTGTGGGCTCTAATCCTATTCTTTTTATTTAATAATGTCTAATGTATGTTATACCTCCCAACGTTTTACCGTCTCATCGTGGATGGGCGGTGTTCGTGGGTGTCGGACTGCGATGTACAGCGGGGGATTCATACCGTGGCAAGGTCCCCAAGCTGAGGAGTCCGGCGTTTCCAACAGGAAGCCTAGCTAAGAGTAAACGAATACCAGGATCCACCACCGTCTTGGTATCAAAATCGCGTGGTGGTAGATCTCCGTTTGATCCACAAGGGCTGCGACTGCATGTGGTGGCCAAGAAATGGGGCAGACCTTCGCCAGGCCGACCTCGAGATTTTAGGAAACCACAATGGCTTAACCAGCAGATCTCCGAAAATTGGAGATCATGCTAGGGCCCGCATAACCATTGAGGACTAGCCATTCAAGTATCAAGCAAGTAATATATGTTATATAATGCTGCGAAGGTGCACATATGTATTTTGCAATACGTAATTCCTTAAGACATTCAAAATAGGTATGCTGAGATTGCTCAAAACATTTGCGCAACGAAACCTCAAATCGTCTCGAATATGTAGTTTCAGTTCATCACGCATGCTCAAAAAGCGGTGGATAAGAAGTGATCTGTTTCGCAGTGGACTGATATCACGACTTATATGGAGTTGGTACTTATAACATTCGTTTAAAATGTTATAGAGGAGTGTGGTTTGACATGAACACACTGCACACCCGTATAAGATGCACCGAACAACTTCAAATGGTCGTTAGCGCTATTCCGCGAAATATTGACCTGCATATTTTGATTCAGTAGATTTAGACCTTCTACGGTACACAACGTCCTTAACGCTTTTTAAATCTTTCCTTTTAGCCATGAGAAATAGACGTGGATTCAGACATCGAATGTCAACAATATTTATGAAGCCATACTCTATCACATTTGTTGGATGAAACAGACTCGCCGCAACAAGCATTCTTCAAGGCCTGAAACTTCAATATGCTCAACGAGTTACTAAACAGCTTCATTATCACACCGAACACTAACTTTCGTATCGCTGTTCGTCACACTTGAAGTTAGCGAAGAACTAGTTGATAACTTGCCAGAAAGATGGTAGCTTATGAAGCCTTTCTCTCCACTGGTGAGTTGATTCAGAAATAATGGCCAGATTTGTCGCTACGAATTTTGGAGACACATATTGTAATAAGCTGTTTATTGTCCATATTATTATTGTATACCACTTTAAGCTTGTTTCTTGTTTAGCTCTGTAACGCTAACTCTCAAATCATTAGATCCATCTCCTTTTTCTTCATGAGTTCAAACTTTGACATGCAGCAACGAAGCGACTCTAAATGTCATCAAGCCACGAGGACAGAGAACCGCTTCTAAAAGCACATTTCTCGTTTGGTTGCAGAATTTCTTTTCTGAGATATGAGCGTTGATGAGGGAGAATGTCGTGGGCATTCATCAGCAGGTAACGACGACAGTGTGAAGGCGATAACCGAAGCTTCCCGATCAAAAACAGCTCGAAAGATTGCAGAAAACCGGAACACTAACAAGTCAAAAATCACTCTTCAGTTTGAAACAACAAAAAGATGAGAAGCTCGGTAAGTGGGCTCTCTATGACCCGCACGACTGCCGAAAAGATCCTGTGCGAAAGCCGACAAGAAAAAGTGATTGAACCGAGGTGAGGTTCAAGAGCATTTTCCAAAACCAAGCCTCCATCTTAAGATGGTTGCGACGACTACTCGGTTGTTTGCAGACGGTTTAACCTAAGAAGACTTTAGGAGTCATGGAGAGGCGACCACAGCAGGTAACTACTGTCATGAAAACAGTGAAATCCCAAAAATTAAATCGCATGTGTCTAGTACTGATCACTAAGGAACTCCTACTCCGTTTAGAAGACACTCTTGAACTAATGTTGTGCAGCAAATACTGCTGAGAGCAAAACACAGTGTCCCCATCCGCGACATTCAACCTCTTCTTGCTGAAAATCGGCCATTGTTTTTGAGTGAACTCACCCATCAAAAAACACCTCAGTTGTTTCATGTTACTCTCATTCTTCTCTTATAATGAATGCTCAACAGATTAAAAAAGATAGAGGATAAAGCTCCCAGTGTTGATCTATCCCTGAGGCATGCGCCATGCGTTCAACTTCATAAAGCATCGCTGGAGGTGAGTGAATGTATATCAGGCCTTTACAATGACTCGCGGTGGCCTACCGAAGCATCGAGTTCCGGTGCCCTCCCAGACAAGTCTGATACCAATTTGCACACCCCGAAGGGTTAGAGGGCTTGGTGAGCCTGGAGCGCGGGGATCGTTCCCACGTGTGTTGCAGCTCGTCTCTGAACACTCCTCTACACGCGTCCTTTCACAGATTAGTATAGTATATATGCATACCGTTTATTCAATATCACATGCGGTTGTGTGGATTCTCCACGAACTTTGGCCTTGGGATTTGTAACGTTCTTTGTAAATGCTTTGCCAACTCCGCCATTGTGTACCGATCATTCGGATTTTCTGACCAACAGCGAACCTGCGAAAAGGCAGTTGTGTCCCATAGTAGTAGCTTTACTAAGTAGAAAGAACCCAAGGAAAAAAGTCTCTTCAAATATCCCGAAAGTGAGAATTCAGCGCATTGTGTTACCAGAACCACATAGGCATGCACTATGGATTATCGACGACGAGTAAAACTGCTCTTTAGGGAACATGATAACATGAAAATTTTTTCGGTCAGTTCCTGGTTTTCGACGGTGAAATTTCACTTACAGGTAGTAATCTTATTTGTTTTTACAGTTAATAATGAACTATATTACAGCGAAATGAAACCTTGATGTACATTTGAATATCAGGATGGACATTCGGCGGCAGTTCCATTCGATACCCTTCTTTGACCTGCAATGTAAAGTACAAGGTTGACAAATCTATAGAATACCATTAAGAAGGTAATGTTTGGATAATCTGCTTCTGTGTTACATCGACCAAGATTGGGTGAATGGTTACCACTGGCTGGTGCAACAATCGAATAACGCACCCAGCGGGCCGTAAAGATGTATCTCTCTTAAACCTTGTTTATTTTACTTCCTTTATTTAGCAATGACAACTCCATATCTCATATCTACTGTGCGAATCCGAACATTTCTTGCATTCGATTAGTTTCCTCCACATTCATTGCACACTAAAGTCTTCGAACATTTCGCGTATTGTTTCGGTTGCTGCTTAAGGATTCGGTCTTCTTTGCGTATGTCATGGAATGATGGTCGAATCGATTCTTCTTGCGGTGTTGAAGATAACTAAGCTAAGGCGTTCTTACGTCGAATAGAGGAGAACGTTAGAGAGGAAGTCTAGCTAAGACCTTCCTTCCTGATGAACTGCATCATTAACTACTGCACAACCTTTCTCCCTCCTTACCTCAATGCGCTACACAATTCTTCGTTACTATTAAAACACTGTACTTATTAGGCTTTGATATGTTGCTCGACGAGTCCCTAGAGCGAGCAGAACCCACTAGGCTACTCTTGCACGCGACAGGGAAAAATGAAGGATTCACTGGCGCGCGCTCGAGTCACTCGACGATCAACGGGAGTGCAGGTGATACAAGTGATACAGGTGATACAGGTATTTATTAGGTCCTATGACATTACCATATTTCCACAACGATGTCCTTTATCTCCAACCTCATCCATTGCGCTCTTTTTCTATTTCTTCCATTTGGGAAATAAAACGGCATATTCAAATTAAATCCTTTTAAATGAACTCTGAATTTAGGCTTCTTCCCGCATTTTAAAAGCGCTAAATTCACAATATGTGAGATGTCAAAAATGGCTAAACTTTTATAATCCTAAATTGAGGAATTCAACGAGTTCTTACACTTTGGTGGACTTCTGCGACACTCATTCCTGGATATGGTTCTATACCGTTGTTGTATATCTCCCAGCACATAATGCCTGAAAATGCACATAACAGATCAGTCTTACGCAAGTTAGGCACGATGGTTTATAGTTCACCGTAGCTGAACACATCAGTCTTCTGAGTGTAGATAGCCATCTTCAGTGTTTCGGGAGCAAGCCATCTAATAGGAACTCTTTTATGGGGATCCATTTGATACACAGTTCCTTCCCGAGTAAGGCCAAAATCAGAGATTTTTACCTGCAATATTATATTGCGATGGTTCGTGAACAAGTAATACACGCCTAATTCCTGTACTGTTGTCTGTAAATTCATCCGCTTGGAAATGACAAGAGAGCGAAAATCTACCTTATTGTCCCCATACAAACAGTTCCTTGCAGCAATATCCCTGTGAAGAACATTCTTGGCATGTAAGTATTCCAAACCCCAAGCTGCCTAAAGCATCGTTTGGATTAAGCTAGGCTTAATGCCTTCGCACCTGTACTTCTTACTTGCAAGCACATTTCATTCTTCTTATCCATAGGTTGTTCATTTTTTTGAAGGTATGAGTCCAATGCACCACAGTTCACCTTGAAAATTACGAAAACCAGTGAAACGTAAAAATGTCGCAAAATTTATGCCATTGCACGGTGGTGGATTCTCTGTCAACTACGAACGATGCATAAGTACTAGTACTTAGAAGGATCAAAATTGGACCGATCAGATAAAGGCGTAGTGTTGTAGAAGTTTCTTTGAATTATCAAGCATCAGAATGGTGAACTTACCAGCTCCATAATCACCATAAGAGGTTCTTGTCCTGCGGCCACACCATAGAATTTAACTACATTCGGATGATCAAAGTTTCTCATAAGACGCGCTTCATGCATGATTTCTTTGATTTGTTCCTTTGTTAGAACTTCCAATTTTGCCTACGACAGCATTGACATTACACTCGGAAAGATCTTGCTATCCACAACTGGGAAAGTGTAAGGTGAATTACATACAAGTTTCACAGCAACTGGAACCTTAGATCCATTTTTTAACTTTAATTTCCCAGCGTGTACTTCACCAAAAGCACCTTCTCCTGGAATTCAGCACAATAATTATGCATAACTTTTCCTTCCTAAAATTGGATTCCTAAATTTTTCCTTGAAAATTATCCCTTATTTGTTGTATTATTTTATTACCGAAAGAAAAAAGAATATTATAACAGCACATTTGTTACGCGACAATGCATTTCGGAAACCAACTCTGGATTTCCATTTCAGTCCACCATGTTCCCACTTCACTTCCTAAGAAACAACACCCACCCAGTTTCTTCGTTAGTTCTACATCGTCGTGGGACAGCTCCCAACTTTGGCGAACGATCGGATTGCGTAGGATCACCTCTTGGGACTGCAATAAATGGAATTTGACGCTGCAAACAACGGATTACATATACGCATATGGGCAGCAAGAAACAAACTTCCCTCACAAGATTTCAAAATATTAAAATCTTGTGCTTTTGGATTTCATTCGACTTTCTCTGTTACAGGGTTCACACCGGTTTTGCAATTCAGTAATCTTACAAACCTAACTTCTAATGTCAGAATTTAGGAAACACTAGTTGTTCGCTTCCCATGTCACTCAAGTGTAGTTCTGCCAAGTGCCTTCTTTGAAATGACGATGACTTAATGGTTGACCAGTTTAGCAACAGAAACACCATCGTTAGAGACCGACCCTACTTTTAACCTGTTGATCTCGAGCTGATTCGGCTTTCCATGTTGCTCAATTGAGCCGCAATCATGGCCACCATGGAAAAGCCCATATCTAAATCTCCGCTTTTTCGAAAGAATGGAGCAATGCACCCGCTGTTATCAGTTGTGGATCACGAACCACAGAATCATAGGGGATCACCAGTGGAGATAGTAGAGGCTGTCATTTCCCCATTTTCCCCTCACCCTCCACGTAAGACTATTTCCTCGAAATGGTAGTTAACGTCCTGCGCGTAACATGCGGAGCTTCTATGGGCGTTGGGCACTGTAGCCACGGTTAATTAACTGTTTGGGAATGTCCTTCCCTCAGCGTCATGCAACAGGTCAGTTATCCGCATTCATAATGCCACACGGACCATGAAGAAGTTGCTGATTTTGGTTTAACCTACCTAGGCATCTGAGTTGATCTGTGCTACAATCCGCTGAAATCACCGCAGTGTCACTTCAATCAGGGTAACAGGGTACATTCAACTAGTTCTCCAAATCGAAGTCCCGTACTTTCTATACTAAGGGAAATCACAGTGCTATTAGTTAACCGAAATAGTTCGTACCAACGAGAGTCATATCAGCGATTAGAGTTAGTTTGTTTATGATCGGCGATTTTCCAAACCATCCTCATTACATGGATAGAATGGGAGGGAATTTTGAAAAAAAGATGTGGATTCCATGTTCTTAGCAACACACCTTCGTTACAGACTCCTTTTTAGTAAGATGGTATACAATCATGGAGCTAACGGATTCGAATGCGTATTTCTCGATCATAACTTTACCAGTTGGGAGCACTGTTATGATGAAGTGTTTAATCTGCAATTAGTGGTATTACTATTTTCGGTATTACTGTGGACTTTTCTCCAATGACGCAAATCTCAGAATGGCTACCCTAGATGAAACTTTCAGTTTCTGGTGGAGTACAAAGAATAAGAAGTTCAAATCATTCTGACAGCGCACCAGTTTAAGAGTTAATTGTCAACCACCTGCTTAAGTTGCCATTCAGTTCATCGATGGAGCCACACCTTTTTACGTATAATAGAGAGAACATTGACGAAAGTCTACGCTCAGAGCAATTCTACCTATTGCGTCGAAGTAGTGCCTACAGCATATGAAAGAACTGCTGAAGAAGGTGACGGCGAAACCAGTTATTATTCACACTTTGTTGCTTCTATCATTCCTGTATGTTTTATATGCAGTCCTGCTGTTTCAGTTGAAGTCTAATCCTCTTGATTTGAAAGACTGATGAACATCGTAACCGATACTGTCTCATTTTAATGTGTAAACTACAAATGGTTCCCGTTACGTTCGTTTAGATGGCTACTGCACCTAATAAACAAGAAAGACAACGCTCTTAGTTGATCAATCCCTAAGGGAGGCGCCGTACATACGACTTCATCAAGCATCGCCAGAGATGATTGAATGCATATCTGGTCTATAGATATCTCGACGGTACACGTGGTGGCCTATCGAAATATCGAGCCAGTGCTCTCATACTTCCGGACAATTCCGGTGCCAATTCGTCTTCAGCGGAGAGTCGGAAGGCTTGGTGAGCTTTGGGAGCGGGATTTACCCCATGTGTATTGCAGGGCACCTCTAACCACTGCAATACACACTCCGTCACTTCACCTTATACAAGGGGAGGTGTTCCTGGGTGTCGAGCTGAGATGTATAGCTGAGCGATTCGTCTCCTGGCATGATCTCCCAAGCTGAGTCCGCCGTTTCCAAGCCAAGCTAAGAGTAAACGAATACCAGGATCCACCACGGTCCTAGTATCAAAGTCGCATGGTGGGAAATCTCTCTCTGATCCACATGGGCTGCGACTGCCTGTAGTGGTGAAGGCCTGACGCAGACTTTGGCCAGGCTGACCTCGGGATTCCAACAAACCACGATGGACTAACCAGCAAATCTCCGAAAAGAGATTATGCTGGGGGCCCGCACAACCACTGAGGATGGGCCATTTAAGTATCAAGTAAGTAACGCTTCCAGTGCCTCACAGGCATGCTGCAGATTGATTCATCCTTTAGCATACATCTCAAAAACTTCCAAAACTTTACTATTGACATAAAAGGATTCATCGCCAATTGTCGAGGGGCCATTCAAGTGAGCTCGGTGGCTTTTGCTCGTCCATTCTGTTATAATATTTATAGTGTACATCAAAGAAGAAATGGCGAAAGAAACTTTAATTTTCCCATCTACTTCAATGACTTCCACAGAGTACAATGACATTTGTTCTAAAATTCAACAGTAACATACTCCTTGATCTTCAAACTCCTGTCTGACCATAACAGACAATACAAGTGCACGTGGTTTGCCTGCCACGGGTTCAGTAGTTCGTACAAGAAAGTCGCCATTTGTTCGTAACATCATCTGAAAACATTCACCGAACGTGTTCTACGAAAGTCATAAAGGAACAAACGATAAACCGTCGATCAGTTTCTGAAGTATGCGCTGTGCATTTGACATCATCAAGGATCACAGTTGTTGTTGAATGCATACTTGGTCTGTACAATGGTTTCAGTGGCCTACCGATGTACGAGGTCTGTGTTTTCCATCTTCCCAAACAGGTCAGACGCAAATTTTACGATCCGGGAAACGAAGGGCCTAGTTGCACTGAGGGGCACCTCTAACCACCGCGCACGTTCCCTCAAAAAGCGATACGCACCTTAATGTCTTCACGTGGGAGCAGTCCATGGTACCAGACTTCATTTGAAAGCTGCTTGTCCATATTGACTTGCCTATTCGGCTGAGCAATGAACTATGAATGAACCACCCATTTTATTTCCAATGCATTGTTCTTATCTTGGGTTGTTTACAATTACCTTATCCTTTCGCTTGTCAGACACATATCCCTTTGTAATACCACAGCTCACGTGTACCTTATCGTGGTTAATGTCTTAAACTTATCAACCCAGAACATTCCAATGGAATAAGCATATCCACTCGGCATTTACTATACTGTTAACAATCGTCAACGATGATGAAGAGTACAATTCGCAAGCACTAAATTCCTCCAATAGCCCGAACGAAATAAATCACCTATGAAAAACAATATTTTGTTGAAGAATGTTATCAGCAATGTAGCAAAGCTCATCAAACAGTTCTTTTCGAATTGAGTCAAAGGTCTTTTCTAAGCCTCTAAAAATGAGCCAACAACTAGTAACGTTATCATTTCGATACTACCCATTGTACTGAAATCCTTTCGAAATCTTGCTTTTTCACATGGCTGTCGTTCATTCAGTTTCCTACGAATTCCCTTGAGCACGACTCCAGTAGAGAGTGAGACGGAAGACAATAGGCAGACTAGACGACGCTAGTAAAAGTTCCGTTGTTTCGAAACGACATGTGTACTAGTTTTTCATTGAATGCGAACTTTGCATCCTGATAGGCTAAAAAAAGAATGAAGCTCTCGATGTCAATCAATCGCCCAGGGATGCGCCATAAATTCGCCTTCACCAAGCATTGCGGTAGGTGATCCAATGCACATCTTGCCCACGCAATGAGCTGAGGCGGCCTGGCAGTGTACTAACGTGGTGCTGGGATCTCAGACAAGTCTTGCACCAATATCTCGATCCTAGAGGGAGAGATGGCTTAGTGAGCCGGGGCAAAGGATCGAACCAATGGACATGTGTATTGAAAGGCACCTCTAACCACTGCGGAAGTCCCGTAAAAAAGTGATACGCACCTTAATGTCTTCACGTGGAAGCAGCCCATGGTACCAGACTTCGTTTGAAAGTTGCTTGTCCATATCGACTTGCCTATTTGGCTGAGCTATGAACTATAAATGAACCACCTATTTTATTTCTAATGCGTTGTTCTTATCTTGCATTGTTTGCAATGATCTTATCCGTTCGCTTGTCAGTAAGATAACCTTCTGTAATACCATAATTCAGGGGAGCGTTTGGCGCAGTGGTTGGAGGCGCCACTGCGACACACACGTGGAATCGATCCCCATGCCCATGGCCCACGAAGCCCTTCGTCCCTCCGGGGCCGGCAAATTGGTACCAGACTTGTCTGGAAGGATAGCAGCACTGGCTCGCTACAACGGTAGGCTACCTCGAGTCGTTGTAAAGGCCAGATATGCCTTCAATCACCTCCAACGATACCTAATGAAGTTGAATGCATGGCGCATCGCTCAGGGATTGTTCAACATCGAGAGCTTTAACCTTTTTAATACCATAATTCACGTATACTTTAATGTAGTTGATAAATGAAATGAGTGATTAAAGCTATGATTGCTTAAACATCTCAGTTTAAAAAATTATGGCGCAAAAAACAAATCCACTTGGCATTTACTATAGTCTTAAAAGTTGTTAACGATGACGAAGATCAGAATTTGCATGCACTATACTGAAAAGTTACGTGCATTGCGTCATCATGTGAATACAGCCGATTATGCTTAAATCTTTTCGATGTCTTGTTTGCTCACATGGCTGTCCTTCACTCAGTCTTCTATGAATTGAGCTCCAGTACAGAGTGAGACAAACGACGATAGGCAGATTAGACGATGCTAGTAGAAGTTCCACTGTTTTGAAATGACATCTATGTTAGTTTTTCATTGAATGCGAACTTTGGGTCCTGATAGGTTAAAAATCGGAGAGAGATCTCGGGGTTAATCAGTTCCTGAGAGAAGCACAGTGCATTCGATTTCATTAAGCGTCGTTGGGGGTGAATTAGTGCATATCTGGTCTATACAATGAGCTGTGGTGGAACATCTATGTATCACTGTGCTACTGCTATCGTCCCAGACAAATATTAAACAGGATAATTCCCATTTCACACAAATACATCAAAAGATATCGATGGATTTCCGCGCAGTGGAACTGTGTGCAAAGGAGTTGGTGTGGGCAATGGTGACCTTCATAGAGTACTTATACAGCATGTAAGTATTTGAGGCAGTTGCTAGATCAACAATGCGTAGTGATTACATGAGGTCCGAATAAAAATTTAATATGTTGATAATGCAAATGCGTGAGATTTTAGTCGACATTACTCTTGCCTGAGCAAATCATACGAGTTGTAACAGGAGAAGATTGAACAGGAGAACAACTTGACGGGGAAAGACAAGGGCTATCTTCACGCGTCGTCTGAAAACAAAGGGCTCTGAAATGGGGAGTGCACAATTACTAATATTCAAACGAAAGGCGGAAGCCTCACGCTCTAGCCACCAGCGGTTACCTTGCACGAGGTTGCATGCCCAATGGCAAAGCAGTGTCAATGTAGGGCAGACATGCCGAGCTCGTGTTAAGCAATTTTGAAATATAATAAATTTCATGACAGCAATAACAAAATCAAATACATGAAATGTTAAATGAAAGATACTAAATATTTTACGAGAAATATTTTCTATACAGGTGCCCCATACTCCAGCAACGTTATCCAGGGTCAGAAGTTTGACATCTCCATCCCGAACCCCAGATAAATAAACACATGCCTCCTCTGACTCCTGTACTGTCGCATGTTCGGAGGAACAGTTTTTCTCCGGTGTCACAGATGACGGTGAGTGCGTGGTGTCTTCTCGTTCCAGCCATTCAGATGACGTTTTACCCCATCCTTCTTTCCTGCGTGACCAACTCTTCCATCGAGGACTCAGATGCAACTGTTCGTGCATTTTAGGTACAGATCGACACCTTAGCCCTTTGCGATTTAGACAGCCTACAATGGCCCTGAGATTTTAGCAGCCTCTCCGTGCTCGCTTTGCTCAACTCTGCCGTATCTTAGTCTCTTTCGGGTTCAGGTGAATGAGGTCCGTTTATTTTACCGTTTTTCTTTTCAGATGCACGCATAGCTTGCTGAACTCGACGTGAAGGCTGGGTATTCTCACGGATAGCTTAGCCTGTCTCTCCTAGAGTAACGGGAGCTTATCTGTTGGAGGCGACCCCTAGCCGCCTTACGAACTCTCCCCGTCACTTGATTGCAGGCTTTTGGCCAAATTGACTCGTATTAGCTTGTTCAGAAATAAATGAGCGTTTTAACTATGTTATTTAAAATGTCATAACTTGCTCCAGACAAAACTTTATTAATCAAAGTAAAGCCATTTGAATCTACACATTTTTGCCAACGGGAAGCAAATTTTTATTTTAGTTGCATAGAATTCTGGGATCGTGGAAACTATGAATTCGTTGAAGACATCTTTTGCATCTTCGTGGTTGGTTAAGCATTTCTCGAGCAGGAAATTGTCAAGGCGCTTGAAGAAGTGATAGCCGGTAGGCGAGAGGTCTGCTGAATATGGTGGATGAGGCTAAGTTTCGTAGCCCAATTCGTTCAGCGTCCGCTGCGCTGGTTCCGCAACGTGGGGCCGGTGGTTGTCGTGCAGTAGAATTGGTCTTTTTCTTTTGACTAATGCCGATCGTTGCTGTTGGAGTTGACGGTGCGTTTTGTCGATTGGTTGGCAACAATTGCCTGTCGTATTCGTTTGGTCCCGATCCAAAAAGCTACGACGAATCAGCTCCAGTACAGACCACCAAACAGTTACCATAACCTTTTTCTGGTGCAATTTCGACTTTGAGAAGTGCTGTGGGGATCGATCGCAATCCAGCCATTGAGCTCAACGTCCCCGGTTGCCGTGCAGAATCCACTTCTCGTCACACGTCACAATTTGATCTAGAAAGGGATTATTTTTGTTGCGCAAAATATGATCAGACGACACTTAAAAATGGCGTTTTTTTAATACCATTTATTTCGAGCAGCACCAAGTTGTCGAGTTTTTTAGCCTTTCCTATGCGATTCAAGTGAGGGGAAATTGTTCTTGTGTTCTCTTCTACACTCAGTATTGACTTGGAGCCCCATAATTGGAAAGAAATTTGTGTGTTTTTATAAGGATAAGTTCGACGGAGTGCAAGGTGGCAAAATCTGTTAATACCTCGATAAAAGCTGGGAGCTCCATCCAGATACAATGGAGGACGATCGAATGCTCTAACAGCTCTCTTGCGCCGTCCGAGTCACAAACTAAACCACAGGTATGGCACCATTGATCTGCTTCATTTTCCATCTGTATCTGGCTACAATTTATGGTATATCTCTTAACACATTTTGGACATCAAAGAACTATTTGGTTATGCGGCCAAGGTAACACATATTTATGGAACATGGGACTAGTCTGAAGGATGAAGGAGCTGTTTCCTTAGATAAATGAGCACGCAGTCTGAGATAAAAAATTGGTTAGTAGCATTCGTTAGAGACCCCGATACGACCCACTCTGTACGTTGTCGCTTATTAAGTCGTTCTCTGAGTTGACTATCCAAATACACTACACGTTTGAGATGTGCGTTAGACGTCGTCTTCAATTGATGGGCCATCCTCTGTAATATGTTCTCCTTTAGGTTTTCCCTTTTATTTTAAGCTAATTAGGCTGTCTTCAGATGAACCCGTTTTTCTACCCTTGCCATTTATTATCTCTACACCTGTGGTACTCTTTCACCAGATAAGAGAATCGTTGGCAGACGTTAGAGACGAATTTCCCATCAGCTTTCATCCCTCTTCCGCCTTATGCCAGAGATTGCACAAATATCTGCAGTGTGTCGTCCTTCCTTTCCTTTCATCAGCTGAAATTGTGAGCGGCTGAAGGCAAAGCTCGGCTTTTTTGTACTTTGCGGAATTTAAAAGTGGACCAGACGAAGGTACGCAGATAGCCTGCACCAGACGATGTTGCGCAGATAACCAGACTAAGCAGCACAGCGAAGCACAACTGCGCCGTGCACGACGACTACAGTACTTCACTCGTAACCGTCGTTCTCCACCTCCACTCCCATGCCGAGTGTGTTCTTTGCAGGTGATATCATCGACAAACGTTCCGGAAGGTGGTAGAGTCGTTTTGTAGCGTGGTTAAAAAGGTCAGGTTCGTGTACACATCGAATATGACCACATTGAGGCAAGAATTGAGGCTCGTCGATTTTTCCAGAAGGTATTATTTCTTGGGAAACGATCTGTATTTCCATAATAAACTCATGTATTGTTAGGGTAAGAAAAGTGTGTACATATTGCGGGCATTGCTTAAAAAATAGGGTAATGGTACATGAAAAAAAGAAACGGGTTACTAAGAATAGGAAATCCCACAAGGGCGATGTTGCTGGCTTTCTACCTCTAAGATACTACAACTTCCACTCCTGAAGTGTTACTAGCTGAGTTCACAGAAGATTAGGTATAACATTCACTCACTGCACCTTAACAACGTTCAAAAGTAGTTTTTTATTGATGTTCAGTACGGAAAAAAATTTATCCTAACGCTTCGATGCTACACTGCACCCATTCGCCATACTCGATTCTGCCACCAGTTTGTCTTGAGCACATCATGGGGAACATGCTGGAGATCCTGAGTTCGTTTTCCCAACGACATGGTATCGATCTCGGTCCGTCACCAAAGGTGGAGTGATGACCTTGTGCAGATTCGCTTACGAGTTTATCTCGGCTTGACTGCATCGAACGTCACAACATTTTTGGACGTATTTTTACTTGCTATTCAACTGTGTTGTGTTTATTGGGTTTCAGTGCACATTTCTGAGCTTAATCGAAAAAGAAATATTTTTTTTTGAATCTTTAGAGTTAAATAGTAAAAATTAAATGGAGGTCTAAGCCGGCTAGAAGCAACAGGTAAAAAAACGGGTCCGAAGGAGAGAATTCCCTGAAGAGCCCCACTTTAAGGGATTTATCTCCTTTACCAAACTTCTACAAATGGTTTATATTAGGTTGTAGCATAGGAAATGTCCGATTTTAAGTGCAAACTTTAAGCAACCATAACTTTTTCATACTAATTTCTATTGATCGAAGTAAACATCATTGGAATCATCACATTTTTCTCAACAAGAGGCAAGTTTTGTGATCATGTTAGTATAAAAATTGTCGGTTCTAGTGTCGATGAATTCTTTAAAGGCATTTTCGACGGTGGTTTGGTCATTGAAGATTTTTTCGGTTAGAAAGTGCTCGAGGTGCTCTAAAAACGAAAATCCATTGGCGACAAATCTGGCGAGTAAGGCGGATTTGGTAAAGTTTCGTAGTGCATTTCCTTCAGCTTTCTAAATGTCATTTGGGAAACGTGCGATCCTGTGTTGTCATGAAGTCCTTTTTGATCCTTTTCTATTGACGGGTGCCGGCTGCTTAACCCGTACTGTTTGATGCATTTCCTCGCTTTCAACACAGTATTCCTCTAACGTAATCGTTTCGCCGGGTCGTAAGAATTTGTAATGAATTGCACCGGCCATTGACTACCACACGGAAACGATTGTTTTCTTTGGACGCAGACTCGGTTCAGGCATGTGTAATGGGTTCTCATCGGCGTCTAGCGCTTTTGCAGAACGGCAACCATTATAGTACAGTATCCACTTTTCATCGCAAGTTGTAATGTGATTCAAAAATGGATCTCTACCGTTGCAAATCAGTAGCGAATTGCAAATTTCCAGATGTTAGTTTTTGCTTTGTTGGGTTCGTGTGGAACCCATTTGCCTATTTTTTAGTTTTACCAATAAACTGCAAGTGACGTGAAATGGTCATAGCACTGAGTGAGTCCAAACACTCTCGCAAGTTCTTGGACCGTTTGATGCGGATTTGATTCGACTGGAGCACGAAGTGTCTCATCGTTAACCGTAATTTCTGTCCTACCACACTCGTCGTTTGCAAAGCTCACGTCTCCGGATTCAAACTTTGCGTAAGAACGACAAATGGGTCGTTCGTTAGTAAAGCCGTCTCATTGATGAGCATTGATGTTCCGAGCACCTGACGCGGCATTACGTCCATTCTCCCACTCGTACAAAAAGGGACACGAATATCACGTTGATTCATACTAAAGTTGAAACCTATAAAAATGTCAATATAGTAATTCTTGAAAAAAACCAATGCTGGATATAGAAAGAGCAGACTTTATTCTTCAAAAATATATATTAAACGTACATAGAGAACAAAACCTTTATTTTAAAAAATTACATGGGAAATTAAATCAATAAAATCGGACATTTCGTATGTTACAACCTAGTATTTTAAAAGAGATAAAAAGATATCCTTTAGAGCATAATGAAGATCTTCAAAGCGGTACAACCAATTGCGCAAGCAGAACCCCGACAGGAATTCTAATGCATAGACCCAATCCAAGCTGTATCACAGGTAATTGAAACTCTGCCAGCTCTTTGTCCTAACCTTCATCGACTACGAGAAAGCGTTTGACAACGTGGAAACGAATGCAACTCTATCAGTGCTGGTTGATCAAGGAGTGGCTCCCTCCTATATAAGATCACCTGTTGAATGTTAACGGAACTGCTGCACAAAAATATTGCTTCGACGCCTCACTACACCCACAGCAAAAGCGGTTCCACAAGGCGACAAAATGTCGCCAAAGCTGTTTACTGTCGCACTGCAGCGGACAATGAAGTTAATCCTTTGGGACGAGAAGGTTTTTCCCGTATTCATCGTTCACAGCGGCCTTCACACATTTCGCGTGTTCTTTCGGTTGCTGAATGATTATTTCATCTTCTTTATGAACGTCGTATAATGCTGGTCGAGTCAATTCTCCTTGCAACCCTTGCAACCCTGAGGATAGCCAAGCTAGGGAGTTCTCACGAGGAGTGTATGAGGGTGTTGGCGAAGGAGCCGAGGGAGCCTCTTTGCTTTACTGATCGACGGCATCATTAGCCACTGCGTCGTACATGTGTACCTTCGCCGTTCAATATACATGGAAAATAACATGAAAAAGATATTAGACAGACGAAAGAGAGCATTGGGCCCCATTCGTGCCTCTCTAGGAAGCCACCGAAAACGGGCCTAAAGCTACGTGGTCATCTTTTCTACTCGACATTCCTCCCAGCACATGTTATGAAGCGGGGACGTGGCTGATAATTCAACCACGTCAGGAAATCTGCACATCAACCACAGAACGCTTGAACGGTGTCTTTTGAAATTCAGCGGGCACGCACAACGTTTAGCTGAAATGCGCAGATTAGATCTTCGAACTCTATACAATCTTTGAGATCCAGGAGCATAAACACGGATAGCGAAACACAGATAGGGCTGTCACGCAATAAGACAGCAGATGATCGATGTCCGAAAAGAAGAGTAGAGTGGACTCCAGGCGAATTCAAGCGTCCTCTTCGAGAGCCTTCAAACGATAAGCGCGGTGTTCGTGGTAAAAGTCAACAATCTGCATTCGCATACTTATTGCGTGTGAAGGAAGACGTCAGATAACAGAAGATCCATGGTATCACCTTACTCTCCTTCAATCTCGCCAAATCTAATTCTTTCCAAATTGTCCAAGCAAACTGAATTGACAGAATGCATCTTCCTAGATTATATTGCCTACAAATGCTTAAAGGGGGCGTGTAGCACAGTGGTAGGAGGCGCCCTGCAATACTCATGAGATTGATCCCTGCGCCCCAAGCTCACCAAGCTCTCCATCCATTCAGGATCAGCAAATTGATGCCAGATTTGTCTGAGAGGATAGCAGCACTGGCTCTATATACATCGGTAGACCACCGCGAGTCATTTTAAAGGCCATACATGTATTCAATCACCTCCATTGATACTTATTGAAGTCGAATGTATGGCGCACCCTTCAGGAATTGATCAACACCGAGAGCTCTTTTAGAGCTCTATAAATGCTTAACCTTTCTTAAATTTTCATTTCATCCGACACGTCTTCACATCAACGATGTAGATCTCAACACTTCTTGCATTCGACTTATTTCCTCAGATCCATCATCTACTGAGCTCCTCGAACGTTTTGCACGTAGCTTCAACTGCTGCTTGGTGAACGTCGGTTTCTTTGTGAATGTGTATGATTGCTGATGGAGCCTATTCTTCTTGGGGCCCTTTGATAACCGAGCTAGGGCGCCCTCACTTGGATTCAAGAGAGTGAGGTGTTCCCAGGCAAGTCGGGTATCAATTTCCCCACCGCGGAATGCTGAGCGGCTTGGTGAGCGCAATGTGGGGCGGAACCAGTGCGCGTATTGAAAGGGTTGACAACAATTGTGCTACGCAGCTCGCCGTTGCTTATATTTTTAAAATTGAATTTGATACTATTAATATTTAATGTAAGGCAGTGAGACGACACGCCCCCAACATCTTTTCGGCGATGGAGAAATGATATCCCCTGAGTGCTGTGTTTGAGCTGAGATTGCGTAGCCTGCGGTATGAGGCCTGTTCAGAAACCCTTCCAGGTTCTCGCACTAGCGACTCGCTCCAGTTGTCCAGTCGAGCGTCGTTCATATTCTTTATCCTTATCCAGTGAATTCGTTCCAGTTTGAAATCTCGAAAGAAGAAGCTAATGTTGTCCACGAGATGCCGCTTTTTCTTTGGTTCCACAACATCTGTCGTTAACTTTTTTTTGTAAATAGCTCTTTCTCTTTGCTAAATAGTAAATATGTACCTTGGTTCGAATCTTTAACCCAGTACTGGCTATCGTCTTCCGGCACTTTTCCTTCCTCAACGTCCTCGTCACGGTACAGAAGGCCTAGTTGGCTTTGGAGTATAGCTAGGTGGCATTCATGACTGATTGACTGGTGACTCATTCTTAGCACTTGAATTAAAGACAAACTCTTCCACAGTAAAGCTTAAGGTTTACTACCCTTACTATAACATCTGGTATACCTAAGGGTTATAAGGTGCTGTTTGGATGACCCAGTGGGTGGGAGAGTAAGAGCCAGATATCGATGTGGTTGTTGATGAAAGTAAATTTTCTGGATAGAGAATTGGAGTTCAGTGACACCACGTGGTTCCCACAGATGTACTGATCCCATCGGAAACATTAAGAAGGCTAAGGACCATGTCATGACTATTTAAAAAGCGTAAAGACCACGAAATATTGTTGCTTGCCAAAGTTTTCTAGGATCGCGTTGTGGTCCGCGAACGTGTTCAGATTTTGGTCATCTTACTTTTTTACACAGGAATGCCACGAAAGAGCCGTGCTGAAACCCTCTAAAGGAGTTCTCAACATCAGTCTCTTCTTCATTTCTTCATCGTAAGTCCAAGCTTGATCGTTATTTTCCTGCAAGGATTTCATTTGGCCCCGTTTATTTGGGATCGAATGACAGAGGATCGCATTTCATTTGTGTTCCCACGACGTTCTCAATCTAATGAAGTTTTTTACCTTTAGGTGTTTCCGGTTCTGTCGTTCGTATCCTGCCATAGAATGCTCAAAATCTGTCGTTCTCCCTTCTTTGTAGTTATTCTTCTTGCGTGCTGGCTATCGGTGATCGTCTATCTCATGTCAAGCTTTTACAGTAGATGGGTATGTTTGTTAAATCATAACGTTGTGGCTTAATCTTCTGAGAGGATTCCTTGTTTCAGGAGGACAGGTTGGATGAAGCAGGTGTTGTCCTTAGAGGGAGACGCCTTTTCCACCAATCATCCAGTTTCCTTTCGGACCATTCCAATTCGTCATTTGGCACTTTGATGTCTACTCTTCAAGAACAAAACATCGCCTTCCTACAGCAATTCAGTGGGTAGCGTCTTTGTTGAACAATTGATTTGACTTGCTTATTTTGATGTAACTTCAGGGAGATGTTGCATTGTTTCTTCTCATTTAGAAAACACTATTATTCAACCGAAACCTTTTCCTGCACGCAAGTTGGATTCGTTTGATTGTGAGGGATATGTGTCCAAGGGAAGGTTGAAACCTGGCGAGGTAAAGTTCCATTTTCACTTTGAAGCTACTGAGTAGTTAGCCACATAAGTAGTTATTCCGTTGTAGTATTACTATGAAGTTGTAGTTGTTTCCAGAAAATGTACTTCAGTTTCGATACAAATTGATTTTTCAACCTTTCAGATTTTGTTTTACATTTTATTTGTTTACAACACCTACAGCACACGCTGTACTTGCGACTGTTGTGATTTTATTTAACCTAAGTATATATTTCCAAGGATAAATATGCCGCGAACAAGTTCAACCAGTTGGCGAGCGATGCGACGTCGGTAAAAAGGAACATCATCGACAGTAGAGAACATTTGTGCGTGCTATTAAATCGCCCCGTACTTGTAGATTTGGCTTTAGCTCCGTTGTTTTTCAAATTTTCAGTTGCAAGAAGCTGAGTTATGAAGGGAAGAGTATGAAAGCGACTTCCGTGATCGTGACTTATCACAATGAAGCTCGCTCGACTTTGTTGCGAACAGTGGTCAGTGTACTGCTCCGCAGTCCATCTCACCTTATTCATGAAATCATCCTGGTCGATGACTGTTCAGTCGATGGTGAGTATATATATAGCCTTCTTGCTCGTGCTCCGTCTCGTTGTCAATACTATTTTATCTCTTTGTGTTGTTTTGATCTTGTTAACAATCTTCCTTCGCCTTTAGAATCGATTGGAAAGGAGATATCACAACTGGAGAAGGTTGTGGTTATTCGAAACACAAAACGTGAAGGTAAATGGGGTTTCTTTCTGTAGCCTCCACTTGATTGCAGTTCATCGTTGACTTCCTGTCAGTTCATTCTTTAGGTCTCATCAGATCTCGTGTGAAAGGTGCTTCGTACGCTTCTGCGCAGGTTCTGACCTTTCTGGATAGTCATGTAGAGTGCAATGTTGGTTGGTTGGAGCCTCTTCTTGCCCGTCTGAGTGAAGTATGTTCTTTCCGACTTCTTGCAGTATATGTTGCACAACGATATCATTTTATCAGAATCCAACTGCAGTTGTTGCTCCAATCATTGACGTCATCAACATGGATAATTTCAACTATGTTGCTGCCAGTGCGGATTTACGTGGTGGCAAGTACAAATTTTACATGTGAAATTTTTACTGTTGAGTGAGAAACTTTTTCTGCGGGTGATGGGGAAGAGCAGGCTTATCCCCATATCAGAACACCTAGTTGTGGTTCTTCCAATCTCTTAATTTGTCACCTTTATTCACGTGACATTACTTCCTGTTATTTTTTACTCGAAAGTCTTTCTATTTGTCCACTTAATTTGTTTTATTTGTTTAATAAATAGAATAGAGCGTTATAGAAGAAGTTACGTTATAACGTTAAGAATTGAATAAAGTGGTGGCTGGGAGGTATTGTTAGGTGTCGGGCTGTGTTGTACAGGGGGATTCATCCCTACAGCAGGGTTTTACAAGCTGAGTAGCCTGCCACTTCTATCAAGAAGCCCAGCCAAGAACCATGATCCACCATCGTCCTGATATCGAACCAGTCGCATGGTAGGAAATCTCCCTCTGATCCACAAGAGCGGCAACCACCTGTGGTGGTGATGAGCTGGGGCTTACTTGGCCTGGCTGACCTCGAGACTCCAGGGAAACACAACGACTAAACCAGCAAGACTCCGAAAAAGTGGAAATCATGCTGAGGCCCTCACAATCAGTGAAGACGACCCATTCAAGTGTTTAAATATTTGTTCTATTTAAAATAAAGAAAGGCAAGTATGTGAATGATTTTCGAACTGAAATCGCACCAGTTACCTATATTATGAAACGTCTCTACGCTTTGTACTTGCTGCTGCTTCCATAATTTCTGCTTTCTGGCTTTTTAAGAGGATGGAACACTGCATTTGATATGAGAAAAGTTGAGCAACGAGAAATGAAATAGTATGTCTTATGTAGTCGCATGAGTTCAGCTCACATGTACTGAGATTTTTCAAGGTTTCGATTGGAATCTCGTGTTCAAATGGGAATTCCTAACTGGAAAGCTTAAGGAACAACGTCACGCTCATCCTACCGATCCTATAAAGTTTGTTTATCGCATTCATTTTCTTCAGCTACGGTTCCCCGTAGTGTCTTTTTCTCTATTTTATGCTAATTTTCTCTCCTTTTTGTGTTTGTTTCACATATCAGTTAGTGAGTTCTTAAGTGTAATGTTTTTTCTTTACTATCATGAGATTTATTTGTGCGCGTAGCACAGCGCTCGGAAGCATCCTGAAATACACATGGGATCGAACTCCCGTGCCCAAGGCTCACCAAGCCTTCGAGCTCTGCGAAGTCGGCAGTTTGGGGCCCGATACGTTGGTAGGCCACCGCGAGTCATTGTAAAGACCAGATATGCATTCAGACACCTCCAACGATACTTAGTGAAGTCGAATGCTTGGGTACATCCTTCATGGATTGATCAAAGTCGAGTATTTAACGCATAAAAGGTTATAATCCATTGTTCTTCAAGCATATGCAACGGCATTATTCAATATTGCAGATCACCAACTATGGCTGGTGGGTTATTTTCAATCAGAAAGAGCTGGTTTGAGGAACTCGGTGCATACGACATGGGGATGGATGTCTGGGGAGGAGAGAATTTAGGTAAGCTTTCTGGGCTGCTTATCCTTGGAATAGCTGGATTATTCAGCATTGTATGAGAGACTCTGTGCAGAAGATGACAGTAGTGAAGTGGAGGGATGAAGAAAAGGAAATTAAGACTCTTTGATGTGAGTGTTTAATCAAAGTACGTTTTCTTCCAGAGATGTCATTTCGAGTGTGGCAATGTGGGGGCTCACTAGAGATTATCCCATGTAGTCGAGTCGGGCATGTGTTTCGTAAGCAGCATCCCTACACTTTTCCTGGTGGCTCCGGAAACGTCTTCCAGTCGTCAGTTTTTTTTTTCTTAAAATTCTGTTAGTCTCTAGTTTTTGTTCAACGTATTACAATAATATGGTTGGTTAGAGTTACATCACCCAAAAAGGACGTTTTAAGCAATAAATGACGACATCTGTGTCAATATTTTATGAGGTTATTTGGGAATTAGTGAAGGAGCCCAGCGGTTAATGATACAGTCCAACAGGAAACAAGGCCGCTGGTTCGATTCCCTACCGAACGCCTCCCTCCAATCCAACTGGGAAAGCGCTAGTTGGACTATCTCGAAAATTCCAAGGAGGATCGATTCGACTAGCATTTTACGACATGCATAAAGAAGGTAAAATCCTCAAACACCAGCCGAGACAGCATGCTAAACCTTCGAAGACCATTTTGGAAATGAATGCGAAGAAAACGAATCCAACTCAAGAAATGCTGGGATCTGCACAGTCGATGACGGGTCATGTAAAATAAAAGAAAACAAATTCCTGAACACGTCACCGGGTCTCTTTAATGTTTCGAGCTGTTTTTTGAATTACTAAAAACAGCCTTATCAACACTGCTGTTTTGACATCTCAAATTTTAACCTATATTTTATTTTTTATTTGATTTGATTTGATCTATCTTCACTTCTATTGTGTGAATTCCAGCACTTCCCACATTTGGTTCGTTTCCTAGTATCTCCACTGTCCACGAAGGTCTTCCAATTTTTACGTGTAACTCCCATTGCTGTTTGAGGATTTTCATTTCATCTTGAATGTCGTAGAATGCTGGTTGAATCGATTCTCCTTGGAGTCCTACTGTGTTTCAGTTATATAGAGCAAGAGCACAAAAATTTTTTTTGTATTTAGTGCAATAATGCCGCATTGGTAAAAAAATTGTTCCTAAAATCTGCACAAGAGGGATAAAATTTGCAAATTTTGCATTAATTCCTGAACAATTTAGTTATATCTTTTGTTAAGGAATACAAGACGAGCTGCTGAAGTTTGGATGGACGAGTACAAGGCCATTTATCTCAAAAATGTACCATCAGCAAGATATGTTAAATTTGGAGAGTGAGTTGAGGTTTTTCTTCCCTTCTCTGTTTATTTCCATGCTTAGATCCGTCCTTAGCTGTGGAAAGTTCTTTGTTGCAGTGCTAAATGACTGCACTACTTGTACCAGTGTAGTTCTCGTTCAGTTTTGCAGTATCTCACAGCGATTGGCCATTCGGGATCGGTTGAAATGTAAGCCTTTCTCGTGGTATCTGCAAACTGTTTATCCCGAACTGAAGTGAGCATTCTCGCAAGTTTTGTTTATTACATTTTTTCTTCCGAAACGTGCTTCCATTCATATAGTATTTCTCATAGGAGCTATTACTGCTGTGTTTTTTTTATTTCAACAATTTATTGTTTTACGAGATTATATTTCCCATCTGTTACTGTTACTGCCGGGTTTTCTGTCGTCCACCCGTGCCGAGTGAACTCCTAGCCCAAAAAAGTCCGTGGTAACGGATCAGTCTTAATGCTTCAAGTATTGAAGTGGTTCAGTTTTCTCATTATAGAGTTCCCGATCGGGATGCGGCTGAATTATTTCACATAAGAAATGAACAGCTTTGCCTCGATACTCTGGGACGCAAAGCTGGTGAAAGCCCAGGCGTTTACCAGTGTCACGGTACTGGTGGTAACCAGGTAACGTTAATTCCTTAGTTATACACAACTCAATGACTCGCAATGTCGTTTCTCGGGTAATTCGTCTCCAGCGCCTTGCTGCGTGTATATTAAGTCCGTAATTGCAGACTATCCGTAGCTGCGTGGCTGCGGCAAGTAGTTTGCAGTAAGCGTAACTAAGCCCTGGTCGGTTCTATGTTTTCATCTGTACTTTGAGTGTTAGAGCTTAGGAGTTCCCGAATTGTCCACCTTCGTTCTACTTGCGCGTCAGTTCACAAAATGTTAGCATATTTTTCCTCCACAAGATGTTTTTGGTACCGTATTAGGTTGATGTTATGGGTTTATGTACAAATACCTTGCACATATACAGTAAATAGGCACCAAACGTGCTACATATGGGTCTTGAAATCACCAGAAAAAACTTAGTGCATGTTCAATACGTGGATTCGCAGATGAACTGCACTTCAGCTATCGCGCAGATCCCATCGTTTCGATTCGCTTCGTTCTTTCCCAGCTGTTAATCTTTGATTCGGTTAGTAAGGATTGAAGGTGTGAAACTTAAAATGGTGGTGAATATAACTCTTATACACGTATAATGGAAATGTCGGCCCAGTTTTCTGGTGGTCCTTAATGTGCTTTTCGTCTAGTTGTCGCCTTCCTTTGTCATTTATAGGACTGGTTGTTTTATTCTTTAAAACCGATTCCGCTGGTTCCCGAAGAGGCGTTGGTATTCTGATGAAGATCCGAGTTACGGCTTACCATTGAATGCGATGGTTCATCTATTGATCAAAGCTAGTTGTAGTACTCCGTTCAGTGTGCACAGGCTCCTCCATGGACCTGAAAGATCGGCTCATGCTTCTGCTGCATAACACAGCTAGAAAAACTGTTGCGTCATAAGGATGAGCGCATAGATCGGGACCAGACACAACCGTGCAGCCACAAACAGAACTCTGGCCTATGTTGTCTATTCTCCTCGATCGAGTTCTTATTTCAAGTCTTGCTCAGTATTCATTGAACATCTGTGGTATACGTTCGGATGTCTTTTCAATTGGTGACCTACCCAGAATTATCAAAATATCCAAAATAGAAGATGACCTTTCATGTCAAACGTCATGAATTTGGTTTCCAGCGACTGGTTCGTTGACTAGTATGTTCCCGTTTCGTTGAGTTCATAAGAAATTCTCTTTGCTTCTGCGGTACTACTAAAGAAGGGACAATGTCGTCGACATGACCATGGTTGGAAGGAGTCCTCTTATCAGCACCTATCCCTTTGTTGTTCCAGTCGAGGCACTGCATTTCCTATTTTAGTATGGCGATGAACAGCTTTTATACTGTGGTACTGATTTGCAATCAGTTTTCTTCCGTAAACTTTGTATCGATACTAGTGCAAAATGGTAAGGCTATTTGAGGACTCTGCATAGATAGAGCATTTATTAGTTATTATACCAATCCCACATGTGGCGCAGTGGTAGGAGGCGCCCTGCAATACACATAGGATCGGTCGCGGTGCCGAGGCCCACCAAGTCTTTTATCCCCCTGAGTCCGGCAGATTAGTAACAGTCTTGTCCGAGAGGATAGCAGCACTTGCTCCATACATCGGGAAGCCACCGCGAATCGTTGTATAGGCCATATATGCATTCAATCACCATCACACGATCCTTAATGAAGTCAAGTGCATGGTACATCCCTCATGGTTTGATCAACGCCGAAAGCTTTATCCTTTGTTTACACTCATCCTATCCCTGGTTATTCGTAAACCCAGAAATTGAACAACTGGTTTATGCATATAATACTTTACTTTTACATTTAATAACTTTATTTTTATACCTATATTTTTAAATTCTATATTTCAAGGAGTGGGCATATGAACGTGACAAAGGTTACCTTCGGAGTACTATTTCTAAACTATGCATTACTACGAGGGATATGAATGGTAATTCCCTCGTTATTATGGACGAGTGCAGTAATGTAAGTATACTTTGTATGAGTGACACTAAATAGGTTTTCTCCAACTATACATTTTTTCATTAAAATTGTTCTAAGAAAAGTTGAAAATATTTTTCTCTAACGTTTTAAGACGTGGAGGAAGAAAGCATTGCATTACCAATTTACGAGTGTTTATATCATATCCTGCCAACGGTTTGCCGCCTCATCGTGGCTGGGAGCTATTCCTGGGTGTTGGGCTGCGATGTACAGCGGGCGTGCTCATCACCTGACAGGGTCTTCGAAGCCGAGGAGTTCGGCGTTTCTATTAGGAAACCCAGCTGAAAGTGAACCAATACCAGGATCCACCACCGTCCTGGTATCAAAGTCGAATGGTGGGAAACCTGCCTCTGATCCACAAGGACTGCGACTTCCTGTAGTGGTGAGGACCTGAGGCACACTTTGGCTAGGCTGATCGCGGCATTCCAGGGAACCGCATTGGCTTAACCAGCAAAACACCGAAAAAATGGAATTTATGCTGAGGTCCACACAACCAGTGAGGACGTGCTATCCATGTATCCAAAGGGATAAATATCATATTGAATGCTGCGGAACTGGTCGGGAATAAATTGCGATGATCTCAATGGCTGAATAGAAAGGTCTCGGTACTGGTGACTTTATATGTTCCGTCTGCTTGATTTTTGAGTTTAGGTGCGAACTCGCCTCCATCTGGATCCGTCCACCGGTTGGCTAGCACAGGGTGGACGTTGCATTGCAGTGGTTTCCCGTGATGAGGATCTTCGACTATCTTCGGCCATATGCGATGGCGTAGATAGTAGTCAGCGCTGGATTTTCGAAAAAACTGCTGCGTTTTGAAGTGCATGATATTTTTTCCTTGTCCATACCATTTTTCTTGCAGTATCCTTAGGCGGTTTTAGCTCTAGGGTCAAGTGGTAGCACCTTGTTAGCTAATTGTTCGTAGGTTGAACAACATCACATGTACATTAGAACATTCTTAAAATAAGATTTCTCCATCTTGTCACCCAGTAGAATGTACTCTTCACTTTCCATAGAATTCCATTTACTGTCTCTAACTTAATGAAAATTGCCAGTTTATTATAGTTCTGCATTGATTCGTCTTCATAGGAGAAGCTCATTTGTGGGTTAGTACATTTTTCTTTGTTGCCACATCTTTTTCCTGCCTTAACAGAGTGTCTTGACTTGTACTACTTAACTTTTTACTTTTACTTTACTTTTTAGAGTTCTTTTCCTCGTACTATTTTTTTTCTTTTAAAGTTCTCACATAGTACTGCTGTACGTTTCTTGCTTCTGTCAGACTATCTTGCATTTCCTTATAGTCATTGATACAATATTTGATCGGTTTTGTTTTGTCAGTTTGTTATTTTCTATCGTTCCGATTGAGTTCAACCTTGCCCGACACTACTCTAGTCTTCCTGAGAGGAGCTTGCCATTGTTATTTCTGTCAGTTTTGAGTTAAATGAATTCTTTAAATTGGCTTTCTTTTCTTCCAAGTAGATTGTACTGGTTTCTTTACCACATCGCTCAGTTCCTCACTTCTTGCTTAATTTATTCCTTCAAAGACGCTAGAAAATTAGCAGGGGAAGATGCTGCTGCATGTTTTATCGGTGGTTTGGATAATAAGATTTAGTCATGCTTTGTATTTCCACATTGCTGAAACGGAAAAGAAGTGCTTCATTGAAGAGATACCTGATGAGACTATGGTGAGTCCAATGATTAGTCTCTGTTCCAGTACTAAATAACAAAAGGTGCTGTTCAGGTGACAGGAAACTATAAAGTACAGCTCTACGACCCCAATACGAGAGGTTATGGAGACTATCCGAATATTGGCATGCATGTTGAGGTCAAGGATCCGGAAAACAAAGTGCGGTTTCTTTCACCCAGTGTAGGACCATTTTTCAAAACGACTTGGTCTTTGTTTAGGTGGTTCTTTCCAAATTATACACTTCTGAGGGGAAATTCACATTTACATCTCACCTTCCTGGCGAACATGTGATTTGCCTCTACTCGAATAGTACTGCTTGGTTTAGTGGAGCTCAACTTAGGGTTCACCTTGATATTCAAGCTGGAGAACATGCTCAAGACTATCAGCAGGTCGCCTTTAACTCCAGAATCGGTCTTGTTCCCTTTGATGTCAATAACGTAACAATAGCCTTTTCTTAGATAGCGACAAAGGATAAATTGAATGAGTTGCAACTTCGCATCCGTCAACTACTTGACCAAGTTGAGCAAATAACCAAAGAACAAAATTATCAGCGGTATAGGTGATTTCTTTTCTTGTCTATCATTTACACTTTAGGTTTGATTGTGTTCCTGTCTTCTCGCACTGCTTCTGAGCATTTCCTTTTATTTGTTCTTTTTCCTTTAGGGAAGAGCGTTTCCGACAAACGTCGGAGTCGACCAATCAACGAGTGCTGTGGTGGTCAGTTGGTCAAACACTTGTCCTCGTTCTTACCGGTGCATGGCAAATGCGCCATCTCAAGGGATTCTTTGAGGCTAAAAAACTTGTTTAGTAGTTTTACGTGTGATACCAGTATTACAGTTTGTTTTTTGGACACATTTTGCGATCATTGCCGCGTGGTGAAATTAAATTTTATTGTTTTGATGTGGTTTACTATGTATTATATTTGTTTGGGGTTATAAATTTGTTCATTTCTATTTGATCGTTATTTGGGTCTCACTGTAGCTGCTTGCTTTCATATCGTTAAACAACAACCGCGATTGCGGAAAGTTTCTTCTCGTTTCAGTCTGGCATAGTCGTTGGCAGTGATTGATGGCAGCTCGTCGACTCATTGAAGGCTTGAAGTCACCGTGGTCTTTAGCCTTCTCTGGTTTTGGAGTAGCGTATGGGTTATACCACGTATGGGAGTACGTAGTTCATCCTATTCTTTGTAGAACAATAGAGTTTTCGAACATGTAATCTTTTTTTTTTTGATAAGCTTACACGACGTTGATAAATAATTCTTCATTCGGCTAACGTTTCGGCGTTTTCGTTTTCATTAGAGCGGATGGTCGTAGTCGGTGGTCCATAGTTGTTCTTCTCGATGTAAGGTCTTCGTCTTCGCATCGATTCGGATTTTCTTCTCTGGAGCATCTCTCGAATGAGCTATACTCATCCAGTGATGCTCTTATATACAGGGCGGTGGGTGTTGATAAAGGTTTGTTCCGTGATAACGACTTGTTTTCTCGGACAATCCACCAATCCACATTAAAACAAGTTGTTACTGTTTACAGGTGTCTGAGTTATGACTAGTCTTTCACTTTGTTAGTAATCTCATCCTCTGGGTCACTCTTCCCTGGAGTCTGCCCACTTGGCAGTGTTTTGTTTGTCAATTAATTAAGTGCATTTTGTGGAACAGTGCTTCCTTGTATCTAGTCTGCAATCAGCCTGAAATCGTTTCGGCGAATTTCTCCAGTCATCTGCCTTCACTCGGTTTAAAGACTGCAATTGTTGGAACTGTTACTATGCTTTTACGGTCCTTGCAGATTTCCTTGGTCTGCTGACATCATTTTAAGCATACCGTTCTTAACATTTCGTATCATTCCATTGTTTTTCAGGAAGGTTTGTGGTCACAATGTGGTAAGGGTTGCATTAGGATGTCGAACTAGGCTTCACAAAGGGAAATAACATTCTTTACAGGGCCACTGAAATTAAAAGGTAGTTCGAATACCTTCTCACTAACAGTGAGAATAACACTAGTGAAAGTGTAGTGGTCATAGTGCCTCATGATTGGGTTTCTTGGGTAGGATTTTCACTATAAGGGTAAATGAAGAGTGATGGTACCAGTTCTAGCTTCTCGATGGTTTACTGAATTGCAGTTGAAGTACATCATAAGATCTTGTTGCTGTTGTGATCACATCTAATTACGTAGCGTTTTCTTAGAGTCTGTTTAAAACTATTAGGACTGGTTCTTTATGGTCTTTGATGAACCTCGTTCAATTCCACCAAGTATTTAACTAAATAGCTCCGTTTCAACTATGGACCTTTGTCTATTGCATTTTGCAATGTGCTCGCAGTTTCTCCCAAGTCACCTTTTTCATCACATTTGATGGGGTTATCGAGAACTGAGGTATGTCGTCACCGTGTTGACTTGCTTTGTCAGTGTTGTGCTTAGAAGCCTGCAGAACATCTGTTTGAATTGAAGTCCTGCAACTACGCACATTCTGACCTTCTTTACCCGTCTTCACATATTTGTGCTGTTAGTAGGAGATTTCATTCGGTTCATCGGCTTGCTTCCTCTATCGAGGAAAGGCTTTATACGAGGATGCTAATTGATGATATTGTCTTCGTGAATAAAGCTAAAGAAGGATAAAGCTTGCGGCGTACTTCATTAAGCGTCGTTAGAGGTGAATTAATGCATATCTGGCTTTGCAGTGACTGGCGATGGTCCACTGATGTATCGAGCCACTGATGCTATCATTGCAGACAAATCTGGTACCAATTTGCTGACTCTGAAGGGATGGAAGGCTTGATGGGCCAGGGGCAAGAGAGTCGATTCCATGTGTATTACAGGGCGCCTCCGACCACTGCGCCCCCATGCGCCCATATTTTATTTTATTCTTCATGAATATCGCTGAATATGCTTAATCAGTATGTTAGTGTTCTATTCTGGAGAAGAGACGAAGTTGTCAATGAAAAGGTTCACTCATTAGTGGCTGACGGTTAGGTTGATTCACCATTCTTCATGAATATCGCTCAATTTTCGTGTGCTTAAGTGTTTGTATGTTCGAAGGAGGTGTTCATTATGTGAATGGAACTTATGCATTGCGTTTTTTCTGCTTAGGTTATAGAAGTGTTTGGCTGATTAGGCTGCATGTCAGTCTGACCTTTCTGGGCTCAGAAAAAGGGGAAGGGTGGAACCGTTGAAGCGTCATCCAGTACTGAGTAAGTCTTATTGTCGATTTCATATCTGCTTAAGAATGAAGCATTGATTTGCTGAACAATCCCGAAGTTCATGGAATGTCTACCTTGGGAATATCGTCGGTTTTGGAATGCTAGGATAGCCCTGTTAAGGTGTTCTCAGGTGTTCACTACTGGGGCTTACCGACGTTTATGGATCGGAGGGAATATTTGCTAACGAAGTATGGTATTAATTTTCTGACCCCAGAGAGATGAGAGGCGCTTCGTGAGACACATCCAGGATTGGAGAAATCGGCACAGGTGCACTGGATGGTATTTCTGGCTACCATGTTTCCTGCATCCGTGATAGCTCAAAGTTTTCCAAATTTCTTGTCGAATACGGTTTTCGAGAGCACTGCTTTTTCGCTTTGTCAAAAGCTTCATAATGAATGAAAACCATAGAAAACGAAAGGTTGGATTCTATAGCTTTTCCAGTAGGTCCAGTCAAAGAACTTAATGATTTCTTGAATGTCCTTGGAACTAATATAGTAAACTCAATGTAAGCCTAATGTAGATATTCTGGTAACATGCGATAGTTAGCCATTGCCAATTTCTTCCAGATTTTCAGCATTCGGCGAAAATGGATCCGCATTTGCTCCTCATTCCATCTGTTATGTTTTCGTATAGGGAAATCCCGTTTTGGCTTCCTCATATTCTAACAGCTTTCGCACTTCCGATGGTACATTCCCTTCTTATGGTACAGAAAAATGTTCCAGTGACCGCGGTGACATGTGAATACGGGCCATCCGATCTTCTAAAAGATAAAGGATAAAGCTGTCGGCGTTGATCAATCCCTGAGAGATGCGCCATGTACTCGAATTTATTAAGCAACGTTGGAGTTGATTGAATGTATATCTGGCTTTTACAATGACTCGCGGTGGCCTACCGATGTATCAAGCCAGTGCTGCTATCCTCCCATACAAGACGTACCAAATTGCTGACCCTAGAGGGATCAAGGACTTGGTAGGCATGGGGCGCGGGGATCGATCCCATGTGTATTGTAGGGCGGCTTCAACTACTGCCCCACACGAGCCTAAGATTCCAGGTGTGTAGTAAGGGAGCACATCCATTTACGTGAGGTTACTAATAACGTCTTGGTAATCGTTTTCTTCTATAGAAGTATAATGGGAGGAACTTCATGAAGTGAACAGAGCCAGCTTACATTTCATTGGGGAATCAGTGTAATTGTGGTCAGTTCTCTGGTTGATTATAGAGAACGTGACTACAATTCGTTTCCTCATTTTTCTTCACTTTCACCACTTCATAACACGAACAACGTTAACATAAGGTTATTTAAGGCCTACGTGATAATAGTATTGCAAGGCAGAAATTTCAAATGCAGTCATAACAGAAAACCTTTCTGAAAAGTCACTATTTAAGTGCTACGCAGTCGGGTGCCAAGTATGAGCTTAAGGAGGAATTACAAGGAAAGACCTACATCGTCACAGGTGCAACTTCAGGAATTGGAAAGGTTCGTGTCTCTTCCAGTGTTGCAGTTTTATCTTTCCATGCTCGTTAAGGCTACGGTGGAAGAGCTTGCTAAGCGAAATGCTCGGGTAATTATGGCATGTAGGTGAGTGAGAAAATGAGAAAATAGGTCCTTTCCTGAAACAGCATCCTGGGTCGAGTTTTTCCAGGAATCGAGAAAAATGCGTGCAGGTACGTAGGGACATTGTGCTAAGCACGCGAAACAAGCAAGTGTACTGCAGGCAGTGTAATCTCGAAGATTTCGATAGCATACGCAATTTTGTTCAGAAACTAACCAAAGGTGTAAATAATTATACGAAGAGTAGTTCTATGCTTTTAAAACTGTTCTGAAAATACACCGTTTTCACTTAGGCAAATTCGAACTTGATAGGATTGATGGCGTTGTGCACAATGCAGCAATGATGGACTCCGAAAGGAAGGTCAATAAGGTAAGCTTTAAGGTTGGTAATAAGTAAATTATTTTAATACTGTTGCTAACGTATTTTTGAACAATTCATGGCCATTAATACGACTCTGAATTTCGCTTTATCGCAATCACGATGCGTTTATATCAATGCATACGTGGAGGCCCCATACGTGCGCGTAAACTTCAATGCACATTACTTCCGTTAGTTTGTTTTACCGCACAGTGACCGTTTTAATCGATAGCTCATGCAGAGAGATGTTGCGTGGTCCATAAGTAGAGGTTCTTTCGCTTAATTTGGGCTCTATCAGTTTATTCTTCCGAGGCACAATCTGTTCCCGATGGAAGACTACCAAGGTATACTTTTACTACGAAGGATGTTGCTGAAGGGAATGGTGCTAAGATATTATGGCACAGCAAATGTGCGTTGTCATCGATGTGCTTCCATACAGTGTATTCTATGGAGAAAAATTCTCGCAACGGAGTTATTCAATTACATTTTTTTCATATATGGGTGGTAATTAAGGCTATGTAGAAATGCAGGGGTGTTTTCGACATATGATGTGAAACTACCAAATACCGTGAATGATCTGTTGATAGGTTTTTTATCACACACAAGTCGGAAACGTTCTAAGTTCAAGAATGGCCATTTTCTGCTACATTTCTTGAGGTTAAATTTTAGGTTGAATGTAGGCTGTGACCATAAAATATCCCATAATTACAAAACTCAGACGACAGGCCAGATTCACATAACACCCTGCCATGAAAAAATAATAGGAAGTAAATAGAAATTACACATTGTAATCTTTATTGCAGTCTCAGTTTAGTTGAGTCCAATGCTGATTTGTGCTCCCTAGATCACTGCCGTTGATGGGTGATTGCTGATGCTAGCTTTAGGATGAGACAAACTGGATGAGAGAAAGGCAAAGTAGGAGCCTCAGTGGTGCAGTGGATAACATGTGAGACCCAGGAAGGCTAATCATGGATTTGGATCTGGGATGTAGTTAAGGTTTTTCAGATATCCCAGCGTCATTGTGGCCGAAAACCGTGAACATAATGCCTTGCCGTGAAAAAAGAATGGACAGTTTATAAAAAAGTTATATCTCATAATTGGTAGAGATGTCTACGGACGTAGCCCTCACTTCTAGCTATATTTCGTAGCTTTTTTGCAGGATGGAATCGAGCGAACATTTGCTACTAACCATCTTGGTGCATTTCTACTAACTGGATTGCTCCTTGATAAGTTGCTGAGCCAAAGTCATCCCGTCAGAATAGTGTTTCTAAATACAAACATAATCGATAGGAAGTACAGCTTATTCTGAATAGTCATTGTTCGTTGGTTTTACATTAGTATCATATGAATCACTATCCAGATGTCAGTTAGACTTCGACGATTTGAATGCATCAACTCGGAAGAAATATGATGGATATGAAGTATACAAACAGAGCAAACTTGCGGCTGCAATGTTCGCGCGAGAGTTATCTGAAAGGTTGAAAGGTAGGATTTGAGTTGTAAATACATACCAAAATTACAGTCATGGTTCCAAAAGGTTCTTTAAGGCACAAATGTGACAGTTGCGGTAGCAGATCCAGGAAGGACGAAGTCCAATCTGTCTTCTCAACTGGATTACCAAACCTTTTTCCTCAGTAGATGGCTTCTCAAAATCGTCAGGTATGTAGAAGAATTCTTAACTCTTACGCTATTCTCCAAACAAATTCAGCTTTTAGTTTCGCTATGGGAGAACGACGTGTGGAAAAAGCAGTTCGCCCAGTGTTGTATGCTCTCGCTGATCCAGCTATGGAAAAAAATGGAGTTTTTATAGAGTAAGGTTTTCCGATTATATCTAAGAGATATTTATTTATATGATCTTATAAACTGATCTTAAGCTGACGCGAGGTTGGTACAGGTCTTGTGTTGGTACTGGCGAGGTATATCTAAGAGAGTAACTTCCAGTTCCATTGTCCTCACTTTTTTTTGTAGAAATTCAATCGAATACTGCTTTTTCAGTAGAGAACGTCTTGAGCAGCCCTGGAATGAAAATGTGGAAGATGCTGAAAAACGACGTTTGTTGTGGGATACAAGCGAAGTGTGGACTAAACTCAGCGAACGCATGGATCAGGTATGGTATAGTCGTCATGTAATTCCGTAGTAATTTAGAAATCTGTAGTTTTTGTCACGAAACATTTCGAAGGTGATCAGATACTTTTATGCTCACTTTCGCAACTCATACATTAAAATCCGCTACATTTCGCAAGGGGAGCGTGTAGGGCAGTGGTCGGAGGCGCTGTGCAGTACACATGGCTTCGATCCCGGGCCCTAGATTCAGCAAACTTTCCTCTGGGGTCGGCAAATTGGTACCAGCCTTGTATAGGAAAATAGTAGCACTAGCTTGATACTTCTCGGTAGGCCACCGGGAGTCATTGTAAAGGGCAGACATGCACTCAATCACCTCCAGACGATGCCTAATGAAGTCGAATGCATGGCGTATCCATCAAAGATTGACCAACGCCGAGAGCTTTACCCTCTTAGCTTCACACTTGGCTACCAAGTCTGCTGCTTGCGTTAAACCGTCGATTCAAAGTAGGTATCAAATATTGAAATCTCGTAATTCTTGATTGCAGTTATATTGTTTATAAGGAGTACATTTCCCCAAAACATCTAATGCGGTCATATCTTACATAAGCAAAATTACGTTTTATGTTGGCAGTTTACAATCAGAGATGGTTCATACTTTTATTGTTGAAGGCAGTTTTCAGATGCGGATTGAATTGAGTGACACCAATATGTCTCCAAGCAAACCTGCCGATGTGAAGTCCGATGTGAGAAGTTGGAAACGACTTTGGTTGTGGTAAACTGACCAATTTGAAAAAATTGAAATAGTTCCAGATAGGTTAATACTATAATTGTTGTTGTCGTAACTTTTGTCTTGTTCTCCAAACGAATTTGCAGAACGGATGACAAGTATGAATGAACTTCTACTACATAAAACTTTTGGTCAATTTGTAAGTAATTCATTGTTATAAGCGCAGCTGGGCATTTGTAGCAAAGTCAAAGTCTTTTAAGAACTGCTGCAATCTCGTAATTATCAGGGTCTACATTGAAACTTACTTGATACTTAATACTTAAATGACCCGCCCCCTTATTGGTTGTGCGGATCCCAACATAATCTCCATTCTTCGGAGATTTGCTGGTTAAGCCATTATGGTTCCCTGCAGTCCCGATGTCAGCCTGGCCAAAGTCTGCTCCAGCTCTTCACCACCACGGGCAGTCGCAGCCGTGTGGATCAGAGGGAGATTTATCACCATGCGACTTTAATACCAGGACGGTGGTGGATCTTGTTATTGGTTTACTCTTAGCTAGGTTTCCTGATTGAAACGCCGGACTCCTCAGCTTGGGAGACCCTGCCAGGGGATGAATCCCCCGCTGTACATCGCAGTCGGACACCCAGGAACACCTCCCAGTCACGATGAGGCGGTAAACCGAGTGGAGGCTACATTGAAAACCACATCAATATTTATCATCATTAGTAAAAAAGCTTCAACCGAACTGGAGTTGAAAGGAGAACTTCTAAAAGCTTCGTCAGACTTTGTATTATACAGCCAACACATGGATGCTGAATAGGTAATTCTTTATTAAATATTAAATATAAATAGCATGCATATCAAGTCGAATTTCTGCAATACGATAATGACGCGTGGCAATGATGATGCTTCAACCGCTTAGTGTTGTTTTTATTTGTAGGTAGCGATCATCGTGACCCTGCACGGCCGACAATATCACGGAACCTGAGAAAGTGTTAATTTGGATAATCGAGGTCATCCCACTACATTGACACATGCCTAGTACTTGACAACAACTACACTTACCTATTATAATAATCACCACGTTGTTTAATTTTAGCAGCAGATTCAAAAGCTTTCGAGACAAACTGATCAATTTTTAGCTGCGATATTGGTGCTGTAACAACTTGAAATTACAGATGAGAAATCTAGAAGTTTGACTTTATCTCCAGAATGACTGCTGTCTTTTGGTTTTAATTCTCGATTGCACGCTGCTATTGTTGAACTCTCTTCTATAGAATACTTGCTTTCAAGCAAACAAGGTAATATAATAATATTCTAATGACTAATAGTAATAATAGTAGTAGTAATAGTAATAACATTAATAATAGTCGTTTTCTTGTTCAGCAATCGCGAGGTTTTTAAACAGCATACATTTACTTCCATAAAAACACAATACAATACAACGCTAGCTGACGTTTCGGCAGTATCGCCTTCTTCAGAGCCTAGAAGGGTATGCTGATATGCAATCTACTAGGCCAAACGCTTCAATAACACTTACACAAAGACGAAAGACTTTGGTAATTACATGATCAACAACTTCTCGAAAAACCCACCGCTTTTTCGTGACTTCCAATGAGGAAGTTTAGAACAGCTGATTATAGTCGCATGTGGTTGACGACTGCACCATCCCACATCAAAAATCGATGCGAACGTACGGGATCAGGTCGCGTATGACCTCCGGGCATCCGTCCCTGCTATTCATTGTAGGGTTTTTGGCATTGATCCAAAAAGCCTCTAGGAGTTTTCGCGCTGGTGTTTTGGACTCCTGTGCAAGGATATTGACTTTCACTTCAAAATCGTCTCCGCTATGCTTTTGTATCCTATGCGTGCCTAGTGGGGTGCTTCGTCTTAGTTTTCGTTTGCCATCTAGGTGTTTTTTTATACGGATACACAAAGGTCTGCCCGTTTCGCCAATATATTCATCTCCGCGATTGTTACACGAGATCAGGTATGTCGCACCTGAACTCATGCAATCACCGTCCTTGCCGTAAGGGCAAATTACGCAATTTGTTGTTTCAAACAGACGGTCATACAGGCGGTTGCGAACTAATTGGCGACGTATAGTAGTCGGTGGTATTTCAACTATCGCTACCGATTCCTCTAGATCTGCCCTTCTTAAGCATCGTTTTATAGCTGCGCTTACTTCATCGCTTATAAAAGGCAACATAAACGGGATTTTGTTTTGGCCAAGTGTTTCGCGTGGGCGCGTCGTTCTCCTTGTAAACTTATCTCGTGGGGTTACTATTTCGTAGCCATTGGAGATGGCTATTTGCCGAGTCAAGTCGCGCGATTCTTCCCTTAGTTCCCTGGTAGTGCACACAGAGGTGGCTGTTCGAAACATGTTTCTCACAATCGCCCTCTTTGTGTGTGAAGGGTGGGAAGAAAGGAAGTGGACAAGGATGTTCTTGTTATTTGGCTTTCGATTTTGAAGTAAAAGTCAATATCCTTGCACAGGAGTCCAAAAAACCAGCGCGAAAACTCCTAGAGGCTTTTTGGATCAATGCCAAAAACCCTACAATGAATAGCAGGGACGAACGCCCGGAGGTCATACGCGACCTGATCCTGCACGTTCGCATCGATTTTTGATGTGGGATGGTGCAGTCGTCAACCACATGCGACTATAATCAGCTGTTTTAAACTTCCTCATTGGAAGTCACGAAAAAAACGGTGGGTTTTTTCGAGAAGTTGTTGTTCATGTAATTACCGAAGGGTTTTTCGCCGTTTTGTAAGTGTCATTGAAGCGTTTGGCCTAGTAGATTGTATATCAGTATACCCTTCCAGGCTCTGAAGAAGGCGATACTGCCGAAACATCAGCTAGCGTTGTATTGTATTGTGTTTTTATGGAAGTAAATGTATGCTGTTTAAAAACCTCGCGATTGCTGAACAAGAAAACGACACATTCATATTCCATTGCCGAGGTTAAGAGAAAGTCGATCCTGGGAACTATTAATAATAGTAATAACAATGATCACGATAATAATAGAACAAGAACAAGAGTTAGAGTGAGGAAGAGGGAGTACCCGAGTAGCTGGTGATGCTGTCCATCAGAAGTAAAATGTTCGACCGCCTGCCCAACGCTCTCCACCCGTTTGTGTGGGGAACACCTTAGCACGGTCATTTCCAACAATGTAAGAAGAATCGACTCGACAAGCATTTCCCTACACTCATAAAGAAGACGAAGTCCTCAAGCGGCAGCCGAAGCAATATGCGATGTGTTCGAGAACATTTCTGGATGATGAGTGCGAGAAATACAAATCGAATACGAGTGCTTGAACCTACATAGTAAGGGTGATGACGGACGATATAATAATATAATAAATAGCAAAAGTAATAATGATAATAAAAAGCAACGGAAGCAAGAATCAATAATGATGATAATAGTAATAAATGTGAGTAAGAGTATGATTTTATGCGGCCTAAAGCTGGTTTTTAAGACTAGACGAGTTGAAAACGTGATGGACTTATAGAAGAAACTTTGGTCCATTTATTTATTCATAATTAGGCTGTTCATAAGTACTCATAGCTATTCATAAGTGTTTGAGTCTTAAAGTTGCTTAGAATTAACATTTCCAAAGGAAATGAAAACGGAACTGAGTTTTTAAAGTTCGAAGCGAAGTCCTAGCAGCCATAAACATCAAAAATGCATTTGAAGATATCATTATCTTCAAATAGACGAAACATCGCTCGTTCAATCGTTTCAGTTTCGAAATACAAGCCTCGACGACAAAATATGCATAAACTACGTTTGACGACCACCAAAAAATCGGAATATATCGTGGTAAACGATAAGAGCCTCTTCCCCTAAGCGAAAATTTTTAGATCCTATTTTCTCTTGTAGTTAATAATGTCCAAACTCCCACGACCGACTTTCTATTAAGCTCGGCATTGATCAGGTAATTCTTCGTATTTTCGTTGAGCAAACGCGAGGTGTTAATTCTTTATTCACGAGGAAGTTCACGTTTCGGCGGATTTCGCCTTCCTCAGAGCCTGTAAAGGTTAAGTTGATAGCAATCTATTCGGCCAAACACCTCCATCACACTGAACACTGCTTTGCACACTCACCGCCTTCTATGAGGTTTCCACTAAGTATGTATGCTGCTGCATTATGCATAATTTACTATGCTTCCATGTGATTTCTGTGCGGTTGGTCCTCACGCGACATGCTTAGTGGCTCTGAGGAAGGCGAAATCCGCCGAAACGTAAACTTCCTCGTGAATAAAGAATAATAACACCTCGCGTTTGCTCAACAAAAATACGAAGGAATAATGTTAACTTTTCGCTGACAGACGTGTTTGTCTACTATTGAAAGTGACCATTATTTTCGCGCCCTATGAGTGGCAATCAACTTACATTGTCCCTACACCGGAAAATGGAATGCGTACACACGTATCAATGTTACTGTTTGTACAGCTGTTTGTTCGAAATACGCTATAACGCCAGAGCGTGACTGTAATTCGAGGACCGGAGTTTGGGTTACTGATTGAGCTATCATTGCTTAACTTCTCGACCTATGGTTTTTATGGTGCCTTTATTTACCCATTTATTTTAAGGGATTAAAGTCCTACGTGCAGATCTGAAAATACTGGACAAATTGTCCCATATTATTGTCCAGTACTTCTCTTCCCAGTCTTGCAATTCACACAACGTTTTTAGCTTGCCCATAGAGGTCCTTCCGTGGTTCAACTAAACAACGTTTCTCATCGGTATTGGAATATTATCAAATAATACCATCGTTTCAATCATCAGAGATAGAAACAAATTTTGAAATACCTCAGATTCAATTTCATCAACTCGGTTGGCCGATTTACGATGATCGTCATCGCTGAGTGCGGATGTCATTCCCATACCACTAAACCCACTCTAAAATAACTAAGGTACGTATAAAGCGAAAAAAAAAAACTAGATGAAAGTTCCATACTTGGAAAAAACACACCCAACCCTTTTTAAGAATAATAAGCAAAGATGTTCTCCATGCTAATTCATCCATTAAAATAAGGTCCTTAAGAAAAGTACAAACCTGATGGATAAATATTGCCTTTATAGCACTTAAGTGATACTGCATAACGTCACAGGAAAATCTGCCCTATAAAAACTACCTTTAGCAATTTCACGAATTCCGAGTGACTGCGAATTCCCAATAAGTCATGAAACATGGCAACCTTGTTTCTCGGTTGATATAGTTTAGCCAGCCTGTTGCGATAATTGGTGTAGGAACAAAGGTGATTCCTACGCTCACTAGTTGGTACGTAGTGGGCTATGTTTACCTCTAACCATTCTCTAGGTACCTAGGAAGATATATGCAGTGTCGCTTCTGATATGAGGGCTATTACCAATGATATCGCCTACAATTAAAGTTAGAAATACTGCACATTATTGAAGAACTATTAACATGTACTGTTCATATCATTAACGGTGGTTTAAACAACGAGAAAGATGTGCCTGAAGAGATCCACGAGTCCCTTTAGAGATATGACGTGGTAAACGAGAACCTGGAACATTCTTTTCACGCTTTTTCGAGAACATATCCGATAGGTTGAAGTCAACATGTTTTGCCATTATCGAGGAATTTAGTTCGTACGCTAGAAATATACTTCATGTAATGCGATGCAACTCTGATAACGCGCATCTTTACCTTTGTGCGAAAAAGTAGTACCGACTTTGCAGGTTCCCGATGAGTCAGCTGCTACAACTCCTGCTATCCACGTTGCCTCTTTTCTCTGTCGAATTTCATCCTTGACACGCGCATCCTCTCTAGGAAGAACAGGGACTTTGGCGAAAGATTACTTAATGCATAAAGGATATATATACATATACATGCATAATATCTGGGAACATATAACGCAGTGGTCCATGATGTCCTTTCGAGTGCGGCCCAAGTTAATCAGGTGCTGTCTCGACCCCACCCCAGCCCACCAAGTCTGGTCTCCTCCGGGGTTGGGAAATTAGTACTAGATTTGTCTGGGGCAACTTCACTCCTTCCACTCCACGTTAGAGCTCTCTATTACGGCTATTCTAGGATTCCTGGGGAAATCGACTCGAAAAGCAAACAAAACATTCACTAGAAGACGAAAAAGTCAAACAGCACCCGAAGGTGGATGCGAAATGGCTCGAACACCTCCGTAGATGGTGGATGCGAGGAAGTGAATCGAATATGAGAAGTGTATGGACCCGCACAGTAGACGTGAAGACGGGTGGTATAGTGTGCATAAATATATATACACATATATACACGAGGTAATGACAAGATGTATAGTTTTAATTTATGCCGATAATCAAGGATCAAGGACACCGTTACACTAAGAATAAATGGAGAGTATATGTTTGTGTTCTAAGAGATCCGCGACAGCCCGATTCTTTACCTCGCTAATGCATTTCCAGCGTTCTGCAATTAAAAATAAGGAATAGCTTGCTTTTTCACATAACTTAGGAATTAACGGAACTTTTTAAAAATTACGAATCCAAAACTGCACCGAAAGCATTTAAACTCTTGCATCCAAGAAAAACCATCTTAGTAAACGTTTGTTGTGGCAAAGCCATCGGGGCTATGTTGTAATAAAAAAAAAAGAAGGGTGAGGTCCATAGCAAAGCGTGACCTTGCATTTTTGAAGAAAATCTGGCCCATTGAGCAGTTCTTGTGCTCCATGGGACGAGTGGTTTACGCCACTTTATTCGTGCCATCTCAGTTCACTCGGTAGTTAACGGTATAACGGGTGATATTCTATATAGAGAAAACTGGGAGTGATCTTCACAGACCGAAGAGTGTTCTCTACGCTTGATATTTAAAAGGATAGAGCTCTCGGCGTTGATCAATCCCTGAGGGGACGCGACATGCATTCGACTTCATTAAGCACCGTCAGAGGTGATTGAATACATGTCTGCCCTTTACAATGACTCCCGGTGACCTTCCGATGTATCGAGTCAGCCCTGCTATCCTCCCAGACAAGTTTAGCTCAAATCTACCGACTCCGAAAGGATGGAAAGCTTGGTGAGCTACGGGCACAGGTATCGATTCCATGTGTGTCGCAGGGCGCCTTCGTCCACTGTGGCACACGAGCCACTTACTGAGGAGAAGAGCACTCAATGTTACTAGTCTGTGAACATTATCGATCACATGCATTCAGTTAAGTGCCAATCTCTCTCTTTTAGAAACTAGGAACAGCCTCGCACCACAAATATCTAAAATCAGACGGCGTAGGGAATATCTTAAGACGTTTTCACTACAATACTTTCAGGAGAAGTGTTAAAAGGAATAGAAATCTAGTACATAACACAGTACATTGTTTGTGAAGAGAAAACTCGCATATAACCGATGCGATTTCGAAATCGTCCGGGCTCCCAGGTTTCCGCTTCACTTGCACTCAAATATCGTTCCAGATGGAATTGATCATCTTGCCCGCATAGTAACTAAAACATTGAACTGGACCCATAAAACCCTCATGAAACATTTTAAAACTAATCTGTTGAGTTGCAACGACATAACCATAACGATGACCTAGTACAAGTCTTGCTTTAATGTATTTTTTAACTTTTCGGTTATATACGGACATCTCACATCCCCATACCATCAGATTATGACCCAATCTGCTACTGCGTTAGCAGTTAATTTTAGAACATGTGTAACCCGAGAGGAATGACAGCCTCTAGTACACTACAGAAACGACTTTCCTTGTGGCAGATCACCTTACACTTTCCCTCCCTGATTGTCTCTTCACATTGTGATACGGTTGGGTTGATGGATCTTAAAATACAATAAACAGAAGGTCCACTCTCCTCTTAGGAATCCGGAGTAAAAAAAACCTTTCTGACTAACCAAATACTAGTCACATAGAATTTATGTTGAGGGCCGAGAAATTTTTCCTAAAGACATGCCATCCAAGTATGGTATAAAGCTTGGCTGCTTCCATGTGTTCTTTTTTCGTTTTCTCGTCTTTTCTACAAGTGATCTGCACACACTCTCAATGAATATATATACGTGTACTAAAACTGAGGAGCCATGAAATAATAGAAAGGTAAGAATAAGGTTATTTTGGCCTACCTGTCGTCTAGAAGCGAACGTCAACTCGGAAAGACATACCAACTGATTTCTCGTTTCAGCGCTAGTGACCCTATAACGAGTGGTTACGGTACAGATGTCCTAAGTAGAGTGTGATAAAAATGCACATACTGATCATCATCGTTCAAATCAATGGCATCGTGAGGCTGTACAATTGGCCAATACATTCCATCTGTCTTTCCGAACGGGTATAAAAATCGTGACGGATTTGCAGAGGGCCATTGTGGAATCACATGTTGACCTTAACGAGGGTTTGTATGAACAAAAGTCATCACAGAAGAAATTATTACATCTTGGAGATGTTTTACGACAAAAACCTAACACTAAAAAACTTGAGGATTGATAGTGAGGTCAGGTGAATGCTGAGCCATACTACCTGTAGACTACCAGTCGTGAATAGAACAATGTCAACCTCATTTTAAAAAAACAACTTTAAGGCTTTTAACCTTTTCACTGAAGAATTCAAAAACACTACTTGAGCAAACATCCTCTTCATTAGATTAGGATCGTAAGTTAGCTCACATCTTATAGTATCGCTACAAAAATGTTAGGCATTTTAACCACTTGGCGCTCAGAAATTGTAGTCCGTACAGCTCAAAACAGTTCACGAAGTTAAGCAAGGCGTTTTTTCTTCTCCTTTCTCGTTTTTGAATTCCATTTCTTAGCAAAATTTGTTACATGGTGTAAAGACTAAATTCACAGATATAACTTGCAAATACCTCCCAACGATTTACCGCTTCACAGTAACCCAAAGGCGTTCCTGGGTATCGGGCTGCGATGTACAGCGGGGAATCATCACCCGGCGAGGCCTCGCAAGCTGAGGAGTAAGGTGTTTCCATCGGGAAGCCTAGCTAAGAGTAAACCAATACCAGGGTCCACCACCGTCCTGGTATCAAAGTCGCATAGTGGCAAATCTTCCTCTGATCCACAAAGACCGGTGACTGCCTGCGGTGTTGTAGACCTGGTGCAGACTTTGAGTAGACTGACTTCGGGACTCCAAGTAAATACAATAGCTAAATCAGCAAAAGTCGGAAAAATGGAGATTATACAGGAAGTCCGCCTAACCATTGAGGACGGGCCGTCCAAGTATCCATGTAAGTAATGAAGAACACAAAATCCTCAACTGATAACACAGACGCAACTGAGAGAACGTTTATGGATGACGTATTGAAGACTATAAAAAGAATGAAAGAAGTGCTGGGATGAATGCAGCAAACGAAGACTGGTTGTGTTCGAAAGGTTACAAACAAGGACTCTTAGCGAAGAACAGAGAGAAAAGATAACTTACGTATGAGTTTTAATTCCATTGGCTGATAATTCTCTCTCTTATTCCATTCTTGTTGAGTTTTTGCCTAAAACACCTTTTTTGGAAAACTTGCTTTGAAATTTTAGAAGTCATTTGTGATAGACAAGAGTAACGAAGACTTCATACATTGACAACACTCGGCTTATACTCAAGACAACGTCGATTTCTTCTGAGTAGTACATGGGTTCGCATCATCGAAGACGATCTTTCTGTCATGCACCGCATTGGTTGCTTGTCAGAACAGCTATATGAAACCGCTTAAAGAATGTTACATACTGATAAAATGAGTAGTGTGAACAAAAGTATCAGCATTACCATACCATGACAATGCATTTGAAGCCCATCGACATTTTCTATGCCTACTTTTGGAAACGTGGGACCACGAATGGACCTGAAGTAGCTATACAAACATCATGAGAGTGAAATGACAGAGGATGGACATACGAATGAAAGCAGTTCTTTCCGCATGGGCTGAATGAATCTTTCTGCAAAGGACTTGCATATAACGGCTTGAAGAATACAAAAACTCAAGTCCATTATGTATGGAGTTCCACAATCAAAAGAAGAAACCTTTCATATAAAAGACAACGCTAGGAAATAGGCGTGTAAAGGAAAAGAAATTTTGAAGATAAAATGATCTTCACGTGCTACTTTTAAACTCACGACGAGTAAGACTTTGAATGAACTTTTTGTTGAGGCATCTATAAGCTATTCACTCATCTACTTAGTAGAGCACTGAAAGTTTGTAATCCAGTTGAAATAGTTTGCTCATGTTGTTTATGATGCCTCGAAAATTCGAACAAAGAATAAAGAAGCTTATGGCGGGTTGTGGGGCCATGCGGATGATTAAATGAACCTGTGTTTACCGAGACCATGAAGCATCATTTTTTTTATACATGACCCTATATCATATGTACCGCGTTGCACTACTTGTACTCGAACTGTTTCCTCGCATCAACCGCTGACGACGGTCTTTCGACTCTTTTTTGAATGCCGATTTGGCTGTTGTTAGAGGATTTTTCCGTCTTCGTCACGAATTACGTCGAACGGTCATCTAGTCGATTTCCCCTGGAAACCTCGGATAGCCGTCCTCGAGTGTTCTAACAACGATTAGATGGAGTAAGCCAATCCCATTCAATTCTGGTACCAAAGTATGGATGGATGAGAGGCTTGATAGGCCCATTTCGTGGTAGACACAGCATCCGAGCAGGTTGAGTAATGAGTACTATCACTACTACTGCGTTACTCGCTCATTATTAATATTTAATTCGTCCATATCTACTGGATCCATCTATTAAATCTGAAGCTGCTTATAAAATGCAAAATGCACGTTGACTATTACGTAAAATCCACTGGCTATTAGTAACTACGCTGTCAGAGCCCTCATTTATGAACTCGTATTCGTCCTCTTTAGATTCAACGAAATATTCAGATTTCTCATCAACGCAGCTGGAGACGGCAAACACAACTGATCCAAAGTTCTCCTCACTATTGCCAGCACTTCATGCTCATTCTTGAAGAAGGCCCTATCAAAGGTGATCTTCTAGGAACAAATAAAATCTGTTATTACTTCGTTTTCAGGTGGTGAACAACGAAAAATGATCGGCATTTGGTATGAAGCATGCTCACTGATGCAGCGGTGAATGAATTACTTCAGATTCGGCTTGTCTGACGAAACCAGAACTGTGCTGGTGTTTGTGTCTGATAGTAGAAAGTAACAGAAATTCGACGATCAAAGAAACTGCACTGGTTCTTGACGAAGAGTGAAGCGATATCCCACAGAAAGTAAAGGACGATGAGGAAACTCTACATTTATTTTTCTTTTTGCTATTTATTGATCTTGTGGAGCACTATAAGCAGCTAACTAAAAAATATTTATGGCAGCACAATAACACCAGAGGGCGCGTGTGGCGCAGTGGTCGGAGGCGCCCTGCAATGCACATGAGATCGATTCCTACGCCCCTGGCCCACTAAGCCTTCCATTCGTCTGGGGCCAGCAAATTCGTACCAAACTTGTCTGGGAGTATAGCAGTACTGACTCGATACATCGCTAGGCCACCGCCAATCAATGAAAAGACCAGATATGCATTATATCACCACCAAACGATGCTTAATGAAGTCGAATGCACGGCGCATCCCTAAGGGAATGATCAACACTGAGACTTTTATCCTTTATAACAGCACCATTTATAATTACTTAAAATTGCTTCAGAAGAGCAAGAACTAACACCAAGCAATGAAAAACTATCCAATAATAGCATGACCACTATCACCACGCTACTCGCTCCGTGGAGCACCACATCAACACTAACGCAATGTGGGAGCAGTAATCAGGAAAAACCATGTTCGGCCAGCACACAACGTTACAATAAAGGAGGGAAATGACACGACATCAACGTCCCAAGGGAACGCGCACGAAAATCCTACTACCTGCTTGCATAGGTTGATTAGCAACGAACCAAATTGAAGAAGTGGTGAAGAAACACTGAATACTCCTTAGATACAAATCTCTTAGCTTTCATAAAGTTATTCGACCTGAACCACTTACGAATAATGCTTCGAAAAAAGGCAATACCAAAGACGACAATAAATATGTTAAGATACAACCGCGCACGGATGCCATTCGGGAATTGCTTGATATTGCAGAAATTCTTACTTACTTGGATACTAGGACTGCCCATCCTCAACGGTTGCGCAAGCCCCAGCACGCTCCTCCATTGTTCGGAGTTTTGCTGGTTTAGCCACTGTGATTCCTAGGAATCCCGAAGTCAGCCTGGCCAAAGTCTGCTCCAGATCGTCACCACCACAGGCTGTCACTGCCCTTGTGGGTCAGAGGGAGATTTGCCACCAAGCGACTAGTTTGGTACCAGGACGGTGGTGGATCCTAGTATCGCTTTACCCTTAGCTGGGCTTCCTGTTGGAATCGCCGGAGTCCTTCTCAGCCTAGGAGAGGGGGGCCACAGTGTGGCCGAAAACCGTTGGAAGGGCAAAATACTGCCATCGTCGCAGAAATTCTACCTTCCCTTTAATCGTTTGGACAAGGTTTATTTAGTTTCAGAAATCTCTAGTACTCTATACCGTAACGAAGCTAAGTGAAATAGTTAAAAATAGAAGACGATTTACCTGTGTTCGAGCAGTCGAGGATCGATTGCGTTAGCTGTTGGTGGAGAGTGTGACACTAAATGAGTTAAAAGAAAAGTATAGACGGCTAAACAACCCTTACATAAAAACCATAAAGAAACAGCTTACTTACACTTAACTCTTTCGCTAATGAACGGAATCAGCTTCCATTTAATTCTGAAAAACCACGCATCTTCATGTGTTTAGGTACTATGACGGTAATATTTGAAGATTTTAGGAGACTATAATACAATATTGCTGCAATCTAGACGACGTATTAGGTCTCTAGACCACTTACAGAACTTGGTCAGACATAAGTCATTGCTGTCTAGGTGCGAAGCGGACGCAGCCGCCTGAGCCTAGTGATCAGTGCCTCTTTGACTTAATACCATTAACGTCTCTAAGGAGTTTACTCATGTAATACTTGGAAGAACTAAAAACCTTGAAATAACCAACCGAGGCTTCTTCATGTCGAATAGAATGGACTCAAAAGACATTTTATCTATAAAATTCCACTTAACAAAGCGAAAATTCTGTTGTTAAGAAAGGCTCTAAGCCTAGAAAAACTTTACCATTTAAAGGAAGTGCCTTATTAAAAGTATCTGTTGCAGAGTTCCGCCCGTTCTCCTTTCCACTCGCCTCAGCGCCTTCACTTCTATAGAAACATTTCCTTTCAAATTCTGTTAGTTCTTAAGAGTCTGTTCGACGGTACTCATTAAAACGAACCTTTAACTAAAGCAAAAAAGCGAATCACCTACTTGGAAGTCATCGTGACAAAGGGATCGTCAAACGCTAAAAAAGATACGCGCTTCGTAAGCTGCCTAAACAATATAGGACCACATTTGTACTGCTTAGTAAAGCAGGCATTTACTCTCGCCTTCACCTTCTACATCGTTTAGGGGTTCCAGCGCTTTCTGAAGTGTAGACGTAAGGATCAGGATCCTCGTAACCTACTTCTATCTTGAACTCATTTCTAGAGACGTCTCTGGATCTGAAAAGGGACATTTGCAAAGTTTATCGTTGGGAAAGAAAAGAAGGAAAAGTAACCACTTCATATCTTGGAACTGGTTCTTCAGAGCGCTTCAAATCTATCGTGTTTTCGGAGTCACCAGAATTCACACGAAGTGAAACACTTAGTGTACCTTGACCTATGGTCAGTTAAAGTATTATAAGTGTCAACAAGTAGAAAGGAAACGTTAACAGTGGGAAGAGCTCGAGAAAGACATACACTGCGAAGGAAATCCTTTCCACATAATAAATAAGATGCAATGAACTCTAGAGAATTGTAGACGTTACTTTGGAGGATGCGGCTATAACAGATACAGTTAGGAACAGAATGACCGACGAACATAAGAAATGATCAGAAGCCGTAAGTAGTTCACGAAATGACAAATGAGAGTTGATGTAAACAAGTGACGGAAAAACGTGTCCATCTGAGATATTATCAGACAAGTAATCAGGAAGAGACAGGCGTTTAGCCTTCTCCAAAAAGAATGCAGAACAGTGCTTGTTGCAGAACTCCATCATGGCATCCTACTTTCAAGTAGTGACGTTATCGAAACGGGATTGTGAAGCCAAAACAGCATGGCTGACATCCTTTCCACAAGACATTAGATCATTCCATCACACAAATCAACCTATTCTAACTACTTGTAGAGAATTTCTTGATAAGTAAACAGGAAGTTATTAACAGCAAGACTCAAGCTGACTGACGAGTCGGCGGTTTCGCCTCCTTCAGAGGCCCGAGAAGTTCACTTGACCGCAATCCGCTCAGTCAAACACCAGCATGATCTCAATACAGACAATAAAAAACAATACAAATGACAATACAGAAATGACCATTCGCAAAGTGAACAACCTCAAACACTCACCGTTTTGTTGTTCATCAGTCCTCTAGATAACCCTTTAGACCAGACCCATAGAGCCCCACGAGACCGAGAATGGGCGTCGTGCAGATCAAAAAATCGATCAGAGACTTGGCGCGAGACGACGCGGGATCACAGCCGGACTCTTGGCGTTTGTCCAAAACGCTTCAAGACCATCTTCATTCGGCTACGTTTCTGCGCCTTCCTTTCTCCTGAAGTATTTGTGATTTGCTATTTACTGTAGACCGACATACTTCGAAAGAAAAATCCTGAGAACTTATCTCAGGCTGCTCGTAGTCTGCTGATTATTGAGTGACTCGAGTGGACTTGGGTTTGTGCAGAAATATTGGAGGATATCAATATTCCTTCCTGGAGGAAGGGCAAATATCCGGCTCAGGTGCTATCTTTCACTCCGTAAACGCTGGATGGTGAAATCTGCGATGCGGCCTTGTTGGTCAACAGATCCATATCATGAGAACTGGGCAGGGCAAACAGTGAGACTTGACCGGATCAAGGCATCACGAATACCTAATCATTCTGGTTTTTCTACAATAGTTTTGATTTGTCGATCTAGAGGTATTTATTTTAAAAATTTTCTATTTTTTTCTGCAAAGGTTCATCCTTCAACCACATCCCTTGTAGCATGTGGAGGTGTATTACTATAGAGAATTCCCCTATCAAATAAAGAATTTTCTACCTACTTAACAAACACATTCTATGAGTCGACAGACTGCATTTGCCACAACGCCCTCGTGCGTGACCTACATCCACACCCCATTCTAGCCATCGGGCAAGCCACTAGACACAGTATCTTGTAGCCATTATTCACGCCACCAGGCATGCTATTGGGCACGTCTCATTGCCGGCGACTAGACCCTGCAACCGGAGCCTTGACCCTACGACCAGCGCCACCCGCTTAGACTTAGCCACGCCCACTAACACCGTCATTTGGCTTCTGACGACGCCGTGGAGATCGCCCTTGCCATTCCATCATCATTTCCCTCCCGCTTAATCTTTTTTTACAAATTCATTTGCTTAGGTTGTAGTCGTATTAACTGTAATCCTTAGCTCCCGCATTGCTAATACATTAATGTTACCCGGAACTGTAGCTTCTCGGCATAGGCACGGAGGAAGACCCACGCCACAGAGCTATAATTCTAGTGAAGACAGGCTCCGTTCCTCTTGCGCTTTATTTCAAACGAAATAAGTGCAACCATAAAACGTTGCTTAATAAGGACTGGCCTAGAGAATTCCGTAAGAGTGATAGAAATACCATCGGACACTCTAAGACGCAAGCTAGTTCGCAACCGCCTATATGACCGTGTGTGTATAACGAAAAACTGTATAATTTGCCCTAACGGTAGAGACGGTTATTGCATGAGTTCGGGTACAGTCTATCTGATCTCTTGTAAAACGTGCGGGGACGAACACGTTGGCGAAACGGGTAGACTGCTCTGCGTCCGCATAAAAGAGCACCTAGTCGGTAAATATAAATTAAAACCAAACACTCCACTAGGCGCGCATAGGATGTAGGAACACAACGGAGATTTTGAAGTAGGTGTCACTATCCTCACGCACGAATCGAAAACATCAGCACATAAAGCTCTTGAAGCGTTTTGGATCAATTCCAAAAATTCAAAAATGAACCGCAAGGAGAAGTGCCTTGTCATCACGCGTGACCTGGCGCCATACCTAAGACTAATCCAATGATTAACGTTTTGTTTTCTGCCTTCTATAATTTTCATGGCAGGTTACTAAGCGAAATACAACCACAACGTTGCTGAGATATTTGCAAAAGAGATACGTTGAGTACATGGGCGAGGACTGTGTCTGTGTCAGGTCATTGGATTGTGCTGCTGCTATCCATCAACTAACTTAGATACAACAAATAAACGGTAGGTGTTGAAATGAAGTTGTTTCTTATGTGAATGCAAATTTATTTGTTAAGTTTTTTCTCCTAGGGTTATGAAAGTGTTGGGCTCAGTAGATCGCATCTCGATTTAACCTTTCCAGGCTCTGAAGAAGGCGAAACCGCCAAAGCGTCAGCTGTTGTATCTTAATAAATTCTATAATAACAACCTCATGTCTGCTTATTGAAGAAAAACATCGAATTATCAATCGATACCGAGGTTAACAAAAAGTTGGTCTTGGGACATTAATGTTATCATTGATTCTGATGTAATTACGTTGTGTTGTTAACATAAGTTAAACACCTTGAGCCGTTACATTGGTGCATGCACTGTTGTTAATGCCTTTTATTAGGTAAAAACCCGCCGAACCACCTCGCTTGTATCTTATTGTACATACATTACAAATCTCGTATTGTTGCGTAAATGGTATGTGTATACGTATAAAGGTTTAATTACCCACGTTTGAGGTACGTTAAAGCAATTCTTCACTCTTATTCACTCCCGCGAACGCCTTTTATATTCTTGCGCTGTGACCCGTTACAATTACTACTTTTTCTGAATCTCTCTCAGTGTTCTCAGAAAAGCGACAGTTGTGGGCCATTATCATCTCAGTAAAATGAAAATCAGTGAAGTTTTTTTTTCTTGATTAGGGACAGGAGATTCTCATCACAGGATTAATGTTAAAGCCCACAGTACCTGACGTTTCTGTGGTTTCACCATCTTCAGAGCTTGGAAGGGACAAATTGACATGCAATCTACTCGGTCTAACACTTTCATAACCTCAGGGGACAAAACTTTATACGTGAATTTTCATTCGCATAAAATGCTTTTTTTGAACACCCACCTTTTTGTTCGTTGTAAGTCTTCCTGTTAATTGGGGAAGAGCGGCCGCACAGAGTCTTACATGGACGAGGAATCCGCCTGCCTGGCTCAGGTCGGAGAATCAACCTCAGGTATCACGAGGAGGCGTGATCATGAGACACTCCTCCTGGTTCATTTTTGGGTCTCTACAATCTAAAGATACAACGTTTTGGAATTTTAGGAATTTTGGAATGAAACAAAGTGGAAAATCTCAGACCGTTTTTACAATTAAAGTGGGTTACAGCATTTTTCGAATGAATTGTCCTCTTTCGGCAGTGCCGGTCCATACAGGACGATGACTGGCTGTTTCTCCGTTAATTACGTCTGTGAACAATCGACTCCAAACATTCTGGTTCTGAAGGAGATGAGTGTACTGGAATGTTATACGAATTTTTTAACATCTACCTCTAGTTAGGTCATCAATCAAGTAAACTACATTCACTTTTCAATATTTAAATAACGTGAAAAACTGAAGAACCAGCCATGGGGTGATGGGTAACACATGAACCTCCGATGGGGTAATCGCCGGTTCGAAGCTCATCTGAGGTTCCGAGCTTTGCAGATACCTCAGCATCACCGTCGTTGTACTTCACATGATACCCTGCAAAGAGAAGAAACTTGTACGTAGTGATTAAAAAGTTAAGCATTGTAAGTCCATGTAAGTGTATGCTTAGAGTCCCGCTGGAATAGTGGCTCTAGAGCGTTGCCAGGTATCAATGACTTTGCCGGTTCTTGTGATCGAAGCGGACGTATCATGGGAAGTTTTATAATTTCTTTCTTCATAACCGCCCATTCCTTACTGTAGCCGTCACCTGTCAGAACAGTTCTAAATGGAAGAACAGTGAGTTCCTGGTCAGGAATTCACGACTCAACGGCTCTTCCAGCGCTATCTTGTGCAGCGGATACGTCGGCTGTTACTTCAACCACGTCAAGGATGCTCCGCACTATTAACAGAGCTCTTGAATGATGTCTATCAAATGCACCCGGTCATGCAATGAAAAGAACGGACGACTGATGGATGGGAACATTTGCAAAGTGTTCTGCACAAGAATGCCCCCCTAGGACGATCACTTACAGTTTGGAAGGACGTTTTCGTAAATAAAGTCAGACAGGTGCACTTGCAGCTGCAGTTGTTTTGCAGATCATGGCCTGAGACTCGCACCCGCCACCATGTTCGAATCAAACCACCACCACGGACGACTGCGAGGCGAGGAAAAAGAGTGGGAGATTTGCTGGAGTTCCTAGTACGTAGTAGTAGTTTTCCGTACGCCTTGCCCTAAAACACTGAGAGCCTTCAAATCGACTTCGTGTATTAGTTAGTTCAGCAAACTTCATAACTGGTAGGCGTTTCGATGACAGGAAACAGAACGACTGACCCATCAACTTCTCTGTTCGACGAACGAAACCTTTATATATCACTCATCTTTGCACATGAGCCAACGCATAGATCAACCGAATTTAGAGGGTGAACCGCGCTCTGCTACTCCTTGCCCTTCTTGCATTACTTGCCGTTGAAACGGAAGGCCAATACTACACCCGAGGGAATTACGGCAGTTACTACGATAATCCATACTATTGGAACAATGATTTATACGGAGGCTTACATTCCGGCTACAACACCGTCAGAGAGAGTTTAACAACTGGTGGAATAGCGGCAGTGGTTCAAGTTGGTTATGCTAATCTTTAATTTGGATTTTTATTACAATTCTTTACAGCTTGGTGGCAGAGTGCTGCACGATGAGCAGTGGCTGGGGGACTGCTATCAACAGCTCTTAGGAAATAGATCGAGCCGGTTCGAGCAACTTCATAGAAAGTACAAGGTCACGTGCTCAATTACTCCATGTTTTGTCCACTATTTGATCTGTGCCGATTATATCTGATCGTTGTAATAAAGCTTTTCTTTCTTCGATGAAAACTTAGCCAATTTCTTCTCCAAGAACTCTATTAGTTGTGGAACACAAATAATCCCCATCTCACAACAAAAAAGGATTTTTTAAGCCATCAATGGCCCATTCATCCTTGATCCTATTGCAACATGTTTAACATGGCTAGTAATAAATGCCAAATGCAAAAATGCTTTGCAGGAAGACATACATCGGTGCAGAAACTGTTAGGAGCAGCCTACCGGTCTGGAAAAATGTCGCCGAGACTTCTGCGAGTACAATGCTTCGTTGTCAGCCCTGATGGACGAAAATGGGATCAGTAAAACTTTCCGCCATGATAAGGAACTGGTAACAAAATGATTGTTTGGTAACCGAAACCACAGGAGAGCCGACGTTGTGCTCAACACCTGGAATGACTTCACGTCACTCACGATAACAAATGAGATCGAAAACACCCATTTTAACAAACACTTCTTCTGAACCACAGAGATCGTTGCCAACGACACGTACGTTTTCTTGTTCCACCAAAGCAGACTGGATTTTCTTCTAGGAAACTTTGAATTTTAAATGAATATAAAGCAAAAAAGAAACAATAGAAATTAGATAAAATAAAGTCGAGACTTTAGAATGCTTCGCTTAGAGCAACACAACAATGTTGTGAGCGTAGAGTTTTGGGTCCGTCAGTTGGTCGATTCCTTGTTTGAGAGGACCAAAGACGGTCCAAGCTGCTCTCTGTAGTTGCTAGTCGAAAATAGGCCTTCGAGTCAGTTCTCGGCACCCAGTAATCACTAGCTTTTAGCAGAATGCTCGACTTCGTGAATAAATGCCACGCGGGACTTTTCGTAGTAGTCACACGGCAATACCTCAAACTTGGGTAATTAAACCTTTATATACATAAATGCAACAATAATAACATAATAGTAACTATAGAGAAGTAGTGGTAGAGGAATGAGACAAGTTAGAGCTCTGAGGTGCTAAGGCCTGTAGTGAAGTGAGGTTAACAATGAGGCAATAGCATTCAAACATTGTAATACCATTAACACAATATTAACAATAATAATGAGATTATAACGAAGTAGCCTTTGCTTAACCGTAAGCGATGCCGCGCCGCGTCTATTCGCGGCCGGCGCGGCGGCTGAGGGAGACAGTATGCTGGGGGCGGAGGGAGGAGACTGTATGCTGCGGAG